GGTGTGGGAGTTGTGAAGCCTCTAGGAGTTTAGTTATTAAGGCTGAATTAGTGATGGAATTTCCTTTTGTGGTGAGGAGGCCTTGTTCTTTCCATACTACCACATGAGACAAGAGAATGTGGAATACATATTTGGAGTCAGTGTACAGTGTGAGAGACGTGTCACGGGCCAGAGTGCAAGCTCTGGTGGCTGCAATGAGTTTGGCCTGTTGATTGGTTGTACCGGGGGGTAGGGCTCGTGCCTCAATGACGTCTTCGAGGGAGACTATTGTGTATCCTGCATAGTGGGTGCCCTCATGTTTAAAGGAGGACCCATCAGTAAACCAGATGAGGTCGGAGTGTGAGAGGGCTCCTTTGGAGATCGTGGAGTGGCACGGAAGGAAGTTATGAAGGGTTTCCAGGCAATCATGCGAGGGAGTATGAGGAGAGTAGGGTAGAGGAAGAAGAGTAGCCAGATTCAGGGGGGGGGCAGGGGAGGAAAGAAATGTCTGGATTGTGGAAGAAAGAGGATAGTAAGGTCAGGAGTCTGGAGGGAGGGAGATTCTGTAAATTTTTGTAGGTTAAGAGGTCCTTTAGGTGATGTGGGGACAGAATGGTAAGGGGTGCCCCGAATGTTAGTTTATGAGCTTCTTTCTGCAAGAACTGCCCAGCGGCTAATGCCCATAGGCAGGGGGCCCATCCCCAAACTACGGGGTCCAATTTCTTGGAGAGATAAGCTACTGGGGCAAAGGATGGGCCATAATATTGGCCTAGGACTCCTAGAGCTTGACTGGACCTTTCATGGATGTATAATGAGAAGGGCTTTGACAAATCAGGAAGATGGAGAGCTGGGGCTTCCACAAGGCGTGACGGAGCTTAATGAAGGAGTGTTGGGGTGAGGAGGATAATGGTTCTTCAGGGGGACCCTTGCTGAGGTGTATAGGGGTCTTTCCAACAGGGAGAAGTTAGGGATCAATGCTCTAAAATACCCAACTAGGCCTAGAAAGGAAAGGATTTCTGTCTTGGTTTTGGGAATGGGCAGGTCAGAGAGGAGTCATTTTCTGTCTAAGGTAATGGACTTTCTTTGTTGAGACAGAAGGAATCCAAGGTAAGTGACAGAAGGGGAAGAGATTTGAGCTTTGACGGGGGATACCCGGTAACCTCTGGAAGCTAGAAGGTTAAGTAGGGAGGCAGTGTCAAGTTGAGACTGTTCCCATGAGGGACTGCAGAGTAGAAGATCGTCCACGTATTGTAATAAGGTGGACTCGGAGTGATCATGATGAAACTGTTTGAGGTCCTGAGCTAGGACCTGTCCAAAAATATGGGGACTATCTCGGAAGCCTTGTGGCAAAACTGTCCAAGTGAGTTGTTCAGAATGTCTTGTGTATGGGTCCGTCCAGGTGAAGGTGAAAAAATCTTGGGAGGAGGGGTCCAGAGGGATGGAAAAAAATGCGTCCTTGAGACCTAAGAAATGGGAGGCCAAGGCAGGGATTCGCGATAAAAGGGTGTATGGATTTGGAACCAAGGGATGGATAGGGATGACGGCCATGTGGATGAGGCGAAGGTCTTGGACAAGGCAGAAAGATCCATTGGTTTTTTTAACAGCTAATATGGGGGTGTTAAATGGGGAGTGAGTGGGTCTGAGATAATTTTTGTTTAAAAGGTCCTGAATGATGGGTTGGAGGCCTATGAGGGCCAAAGTGGTTAGGGGGTATTGGGCCTGGCAGATATACTGAGAGAGGTCATGTAATTTGATAGAGGCAGGAGGACATAGAGCCACGGAGGGGCTGGTAATGTCCCAAACTTTGGGATTTACAGGGTGTATGAGGGTGGAACTGGAGCTTTCATTGGGTAGAGGGGGGTTGTTGGCTATGAGGGCTATCAGAAAGGGAAAACTGGGGGCTGTGGGAGTGGATATAGTTATGGAAACATGGAGGAGAGAAAGGATGTACCGTCCTAGTAAAGGGATGGGACACTGGGGCATAACCAGGAAGGAGTGGGAGAAAGGTATGGGATTGTCTTGGATTGTGCATAAAAGGGGGGGGGTTTAACAGGAAAATCTGTTTACTTCTTACCTCGACTATAGGAGTAACGGCAGGTGTGGTAGGGCCCTGGTATTCTCGCAAGACTGAGAAGGTGGCTCCTGTGTCTAGGAGGAAGGAGATGGGGTGACCATCTACTATTAAAGTAACCCTGGGCTCCTGTTTGGTGATGGAAATGGTCGGGCGAGAAGCCCCCGGGCCCCGTCAATCTTCTTCTGCCAGTCCTGCTATGGCAGGCTTAGGATGGGGGTTGTTCATCCAGTCTCCCCTTTGGGTGGTTGGGCAATCAGACCCCCAATGGCCCTTTTTGTGGCATCTGGGGCATGGGGTGGTAGGAGATCTGGGGGAGGGGCACGCCCTTGACCAATGTCCCTCTTTTCCGCACTTGAAACAAGCTCCTGGGGGGGGCTTGTCTGTAGAGGGGCGCCCAGGTTGTGGTTTTATCAGCTGGGCCAACATCTGGAAATTGGCCTGATCAGCCTTTTGTTTACGGCGTTCTTTCTCCTCCTCCCGGTTATGGAAGACTTTAAAGGCCACTGTTAGGATCTCAGTCTGTGGGGTAGCGGGGCCCTGTTCTAACTTTTTGAGTTTAGCTTTAATGTCGGGGTAGCTTTGAGCTAGGAAGTATGTCATAAGGACATGTCTTCCTTCAGGTGTTTCTGGGTCCAGGCTGGTATACTGTAATAGGGCTTGAGTGAGTCTGTCTAAGAACTCGGAGGGGATTTCATCTCTCTTTTGAATTATGTCTTGGAGCTTTTGAAAATTGACTACTTTACAAGCTGCCTTTTTCAGACCTGCTATTAAGCAGGAGGCAAAAATATCTCGAGAGCGGAGACTCATGGCGGTGTTATAATCTCAGTGTGGGTCTTGTTCGGGGACAGCAGTGGGGCCAGGGGGATAGGTGGGGTCAGTCCTGTGGGTTTCGGTAGCGTGCGTTTGGGCGAAGTCCCAAACTCGTCTACGCTCTTCAGGGAGGAGAGTATTGGCCAGGAGCATGAAAATGTCATGATGTGTGAGGCTGTAAGACTGGAGGGTCCATTGAAACTCCCTGATGTATGTCGTGGGATCAGTGGAAAAGGAACTTAGGCGTTTCTCTAGTTGGGCTAAATCTCCTAAGGAGAAAGGGACGTGAACGCGCACGATGCCTTCGGATCCTGCTACTTCCCGGAGGGGGGCGATAATTTTGGGAGGCCCTCGGGACCGAGTCTGAGGGGGACTGAAGGGTTCTGGCTCAGTCTGTGGGGGAGTGACGTGGTCTAGCCGTGCCTAGTCGAGCAGGTCCTGAAGTGCAGAAGGGGGGCAAAGAAAATAAAGAAAGATAGAATCGGACCCACATGTCGCCAGCTAGCAGCCCAGCTGCTTGCCTCTGCTGCTTTAGTTGGGCTTGAACTCATGACTCTGAGGTTAAGAGTCCCATGCTCTACTGAGCTACAGCAGGGCTCCAGTTAATTGCTTATGGAATGCGTTGTTTTCTATTCCTGCCACATCGGCAAGTGGGGGAAGGGCATAGCTAGAAGCAGGGGCGGTGTTTCTACACATCTTCAAGGTCTCCCTATTTTCAGAGTGAGGAGTCTTGGCAAGATATGTTTTTGTGGACAGATAACTTCTAAGGACTGCACCGGTTGTTCTCTAGCTTGTGCTTTCCCATGCTGCGTTCAGACATGGGGGGAGGTGCTTTCCCATTCTCCCTACAAACATGTGAGAAGACAAAGGCGGTCCCTAACAGGGGAGAAACAGGTGATGAGGGCAAAGACGGAGGAGGCCCCTGGGACCTAGTTAAAGGGGGGCTGAAAGGCTCAGGCTTAATCTGCAGGGAATGAAGGTGGAGGAGGTGAGATGGGGGAGGAGATGGTTGGGGAGGAAGGGAGAAGGGCTGTTGTAGGAGAAGAAGGGGAAGGGAGTGAACAGGAGGCTTCTGCGGGGGCGGCGGCTTGCAGGCTAGGAGAACTTGGGAGGGGGCGGGGAGAGGAGGAGGCGGAAAGCTTCGATATAGGGAATCTCCTTCCATTTTTTCAGGCGCTGGCAGTAGTTAAAAAGATCGCGAGTGATGTTAGGATCAAGAGTTCCCCCTGCGGGCCATTGGTTGTTATTGTCTAGGGGGTATGTCGGCCAATCTTGGGAGCAATATTTACGGAGAAGTTTTGGTTTTATATCAGGCGTCAGGGAGAGGGTAGCCAGATGCTTAAGCAGGCATTCAAGAGGTGAACTTTCAGGGAGGGATGAGGAGGCTCCCATGGCTAAAGGACAGAGGAGGAGACAAACAGGAAGACGAAAAGAGATCCTTGGACTGGGAGTAGACGGCAAGGAGACAAAGGGTGTCCCCGATGATCCTTGGTGGTTGGCAGAAACTCATATACGAGTCGGAATTTCTTAGGAAGTGTGGGTCATCACCCAGACTTCTCTAAGAAGGCAGAGTGCCGGAGTCACGAGGAACCTAGTACTAGGACCTTTCGGCGGAAGGAACAGAAGGAGGAGGTGGGGGAAAAAGGGAGCGTTCTCATCTGCAAAGGAGTCACCTCGTTTATGGCTGTTGGAGGAGGGGCTTGAGGGTCCGCTGCAGCCGTGAAGGCCTGAGGCGGGGAGAGTTCCCTCCTCGTCCCCAAGCATCAGGGCCTTGCTGGACGATCATGGTCAGTGGCGCTGCAATAGCTCAGGGAAGAGCGGCCTGCTCCGGGGGAAACTTACCCAAAGGCCAAAGAGGAGTGGTGAGTATGAGGAGCCAGCGCTGGAAAAAGAGGACGAGGGCAAGCTGCTGCTGGTGTTGGGGGAAGATGGGGCCCAGTTGGGGTGTCCCGTGTCCCGGGTTTCGGCACCAGTGAAAGGAAGGAGCGACACACAGCAGCAATTCACCAGAGAATTCCGCTTTATTAGGGAAAGGTGCTGGGTTATATAGGAAGGGGCATGAGGTGATTGTGGTGTTACTTCTACAGGGCTGGTGGCTATTGGCTAGGTGCTGGGATTGGGAGGGGGGGCGAGAGGTGATTGGGCTTCAGGTGGCGCCGGCGGGAACCGAGGACCCAGAAGAGAAGCAGGAAGTTTGCCATCTTACGGGTGGGGGCCCTTCAATAATATTCACTATGTCTTAGAGACAGAAGACTGAGCAATTATCAGCAGTATTTATTAGACATTTATGCTTTGAATTTGCCTTTTCCAACTCTTTTCTTCATTAATTTTTACCAAAGATATTGAAGCCATCCATTGTCGGCTTTACTTGTCTTCAAAGTTCATCAGTGCCTGCACTATAAAGAAACAAAACTGTGAGGCTAGAGAGCTAAGAATATTCAGAACATAACATGTTTGGTGGAGACCCTGCTTCTTTGGGTTCTAGGTTCTAGGTTTACTTTAATTTAAATATTAGTACAAAAATTTACTAATTTACCATATGAGTCTGTACTCTTTGCCATAGATGAATTAATCAGGGTTAACGAAACCACCTTACTGATTTCTCTCATTTTCACCCTTTTGTACTAAGAGAATAAGTGGGAAGGCAGGGTTAATTATAGGCAACATTTGGAAATAGGCAAAGCCTGTCTTTGACGTCATGCTTTAAATCCTTGTACTCTAAATCCCATGTTCCAATGTTATAAATTCCTCTCACTGCCCTCTGCTACACACACACCACACACACACACACACACACACACACACACACATTCCTCTTTCCTAATTGTTACTTTCTCATTGAGTAGGTATGAGAAAGATGGTATTAGGTATGAGGAAGATAATATTAAGCCACAGTAAATTGTAAAAAATGGCTCTAATTCTTCCAGTTTTTGTATTTTTAGAGAGAAAATTTATTAATTCAAATTAATCTCCAAGTGGTGACATTTTAAGTAAGAAACTCAGGGAAAATAATTTTGAGCGGGTAGTTCTCCACTTTAATCAAACTACTATTTAAATCAAATCTCTCTGTTTACGCTGTTAGTGGAAGGGACTGAAAGGAAGAAAAGACTGTAATTCATAATCTTCTTTTAAGGGTTGTGGGGAGTGGGCATTATAGGCTTCCTGCTCACTGTCTAATCCCCATAGCTATCCAACTTGGGCCTGAGACCCTATTGCTTAGGTCTGAAGTATGACCTTCAAATCCAAGAAACATGTACAAAAGGGAGTGGCTGCACAGATTGAGCCCCATCTTGTTCTAACTCCTAACAACTGGAATTGGACACTCTCCTCTTAGGAAACAAGTTTTCAGATCTCATAGGATTGAGGTGTCCTCTACTGGAGAAGCAGAGTTGCTAGGTTCTAAGTTAAAAGAAATCAGTACTTATGTCCAGAATGTGATAACAAACCAAGGATTTGCCTTTTTCCACCAAGGTGGAGATTCAGAGGCTAAGATGTCAAAATAGTGATACTTTCCTCCTTCTCCCCAGTTATATATGCTACTCTGATGTACTTAACTTCTGGTCCCCAAGACTGTACCCAAATCCATACCTGCAAACTCTTGTAACTGCTTACGCTCCTCTAAATTATACTGAAGCTTTTCTAGCAGCTCAAAATATCGGAAAAGTGAGTCTCTAGGCCAAACAACACGTTCATCCTGATCCATTTCCATTAGCCCAGGTAGATTCTGGTGCACGTGAGTCTCCCAGTCCAACTGACCTGGAAGGAAGAAGGCTTCTTAAAAACATATCTAGGTTTGTGGGAGTTGGTAAGAGCTGATAAATTCTATGTGGGTGTGGGGGGGAAATCAGGGATGAGAGAGGAAATAGAAAGCAGGGAGGGAAAAGGGTGCACCACCAAGAGTGCACTTTTTACAATAAGCAAAGACAGCCAGAGCCACACATACCCTAAGTGAAGCAGAAGTACAGGGAAAATGAAGAAGCTCAAAGAAAGAAATCAGATTGGAGAAAAAAGCTGCTAAGTAGATATGGTGGGAGAGCTCCCATTAGGATTAGGATGTCTTAAGCAATGACTCTATAGCATCTTACTGCACTCGTGGATAGTGATTGCAGTGGTGGTAGTGGGGACTTAATAATATGGATGAATGTTGAAACCACAAAGTTGCTCAAGTGAAACCTTCATAAGATTATATATCAATGATACTTTAATTTAAAAATGTGAATTATACATTAAAATATGTGTACTCTATTAAAAAAAAAAAGATTGGGATGTCTCCTAGAGAACAGGGGTCTGATTCAAATGGAAGAAACCCTCTGCATACCAAAAGAGTCAGAATAGAAGGAGGAAGATGAAGAGGAGGAGGAGGAAGTTGAGGACTTTTTCTGTTTTGACAAGGACTCTCTTGTCTTTGATGTAGATGCTGTTGAGCTCTCATCAGCAGCACTATACTCAGACTCTTCTATGGCACTGTGTTGAGATGCTTCTAAAAAATCCAATGATTCTCCTTGTTGACTGGTATCTCTATAAGTGACATATGGAATTTTATTGCTTCAAATACACTTATAAGATATGGCTAGTTCTTTCATTATTCTAGTCCTAACCCTGGCCATACCCTAAAGCTGGGACTTAAAGCAACGAGGACCAAACTGCTCCCAAAATTTGAGCTTAAGCACTTCCAACCTCAGTTACCCAATGCGATATGTCCCTATTGGTGCTCCTCACCCCACAGCTTCTATACTCAATTCTCCTTAGGCTTCCACAGTTCACCTCACATCTTATTTTGCCAAGGTTAAGCTCCCCATGCACGGCACTATGCTTACTACACCATAACTATAGCCTCTGCCCCCTTGATTCCATCTCTTAAGAGGGCCCCTGGGTTCAGCTCTTGGTCTTTTTATCTCCTCCATCTACAGTCACCCCTTTGGTGATTTCATCTCCTGAGTTTAAATGCTTATGAAATGCAAATTAAACCTCTAGTCCCAACCTCACTTCCCAGTCCAGATGTTAAGCCTGTTTGTGTACCTGAAGCAGATTCACTCAGTTTTCTGTTCAACATCCCCTTTCTCCTGACTTGTATTATCAGCCCTTGTATATATACAACTTTTATATACAACCTTGTATATATACAACTTTTACTCACATATTACCACTTGAATGTCGAATGCACATCCAAAAGCCAACCAAAACCAAACTTTTTGTCCACCAAACCTCTTTCATTCACAGCCTCCCCTATCTCAGCTAATCCAACCTTCCAGTTGCTCAGGCCAAAACTTTGGGGTTATCCTTAACTCTTCTCTCATTTTCTATCCATCAAGAAATCCTACTGACTCTACCATCAAAATATATCTTATCTCGCTGGTACCACTGGAATCACTCTGGTCTGAGCCATGATCTTCTCTTATGTGGGTAGCAGCACAGCTTTCTAACCATCTCCCTGATCTTCTACAGCCTGTCATTGACACAGCAACTGGAGTAATCTTTCTTACATGTAAGTTATTTCATGTCACTGCTCTGCTTTGCTCCCCATTTCAATCAGAGTCAAAGCCCAATTCCCTACAATGGCCCCCACCGCCCTACAGGATCGGGTCCCTATTATCTCTCTGACCTAATCTCCAGTGACTCTTCCCTTTGCTCACTCTGCTCGAGTTAACAATGGCTTCCTTACTGTTCTCAAACACACCTGGCATGCTTCTGGCTTAGGACTTGTGTACCTGCTGTTCCCTCTGCCTGTAACTCTCTTCCCATAGACATCTACATAGTAATTCCCTCACCTCCTCCAAGTCTTTGCTCAAATGTTACCTTTTCATGAGGCCACTCTGACCACCTTGTTTAAAATTACAACTCATCTACAACCCCCACCTTATAATCCAATCCCTTTAACCTTTTTTACTTTTTATTTTTGCATAATGCTTATATTGTAACATACTGCTTATTAACATGTTCATTGTTTATTATCTCTTTCCCCCTACAGGCATGGAAGTTCCATGAGAGCAGGCATTATTGCCTACTTTGTTCCCTGATATATTCCAAGTACCCAGTAAGTATTCAATAATTAGCCGCTGAATGGATGAGTTTATTTGTCCTTCTGCTCTTTTGTCCTCCGCTGAACACTCACGGTCTAGAACAGCATCTTTTTCACAGAAGGCATTTAAATTAGTTTCCTGTGGCTGCTGTAATAAATTATCACAAACTTGGTACTTCTCTCACAATTCAGGAGGCCAAAAGTCTGAAATCAAGGTGTTGGCAGAGCCATACTTCCTCTGGAAAAGCTCTAGGGGAGAAGTTTCCTTTCTGCTCCTAGCTTCTGACAGTAGCCTGCCATTTACTGGCTTCCTTTGGCTTGTGGTTGCATCGCTCCAATTTCTACCTCCATCTTCACACCTCCTTTTCCTATACTCTGTGTCTGTCTTCTCTTCTCTTAAAGGACCTTGTCGCTGGATTTAGAGCCCACCTGGATAATTCAGGACAATCACATCTCAATATCCTTAACTTGCTTATATCTGTAAACACCTTATTTTTCCAAATAATGTCATTTTCTCAGGTTCTGGGAAGTTAGGACATGGCCATAACTTTTTAGGGGTCACCATTCAATGGACTCTTATAACTAGGTATTGGATGAATGAATTCTCTGTCAAAGCCAATCTTCATCTTTGGTTTCCTACCCTTTCTTCGTTCATGTGTACTCATCCCAGTTCACACATACACTCCTAACCTGGCATCCATTTTGCTAAGGCTTTACCTTATTGGCTTAGGGGACAGGTTTTGTCTCCTGCAAAGCAAAAAACACAAGAGTGAACAGAGTATTATTGAAGGAAGAGTATAGTTAGGAAAAAAATAAAAGAATTCAGATCATAAAGTGAAGAAACAGTGAGGAGAACAAATTTTAGTAAGAGAGTGAAAAAGAGTGAGGAAGATCCCACCACGGATAAAGAATCAGACAGTTTTCTAAAGGTGGGGAATTCTAATGCTGGGGCAAATCTGTCATGAAGGGAAACATGGGATCAGGGCCAAGGAGCACAAGCAGGAAATGAGGTCAGGAAGAAAAGTAAAACTGGGTTTGAAAATGGGGAGGCAGACCTCTGGATAATCTGCCGCTTGAATATGTCGGCTTTGTGCTGAACCTCCAGATGTGCCATCTCCTCGTTCAGCTCATTCCTGATATTCTGGAAGTTAGTAACTGCCCCAAAGGGCCATTAGCAGTTGGGAGATGGTGGAACTAGATCTGGGGAGAGGGCTTGAGTGGTAAGAAAGCAAATGAAACATCCATTCCAGGCCCCAACCCGTCCTGCTTATCAGGTTCTCTTCACATCCACCAATCTTAGCTCTCATTCTGATTTGTTCCCAACCCCGCTTCCCACCAAGTTTCACCTCTTCTATGCTTACCCATCATGGCTATTATGATATTTCGAAAGATAATGGAACCAAGTAACAAACAAAGGATGACATAGATGCTGCTGAAGGTGTGGCTGACTTCAGGTACCTTCCAGGTGTCCTTAAGCAGTGCATACCAATGATCCATGGTGAAGAGAATGAACACTGTCACTAGGGAATTCAGCATGTCCCTAAAGAAAAAGGAGGTGTGTATATAAATAGAAGAGAGACCTAAATCTCTTGGAAACAATATTGTTCTTACTCTTAAACAGACACAGGAGCATTTCTTTGTGGTTTGCTGATTTGGCTCCTTTCAACCATACTCAATTTTTTAGCTAATCATTCTCCAGTTTGAGGTTTAGGTTTTCCTTTATCATGAATAATCTACAGCACAGTAGGTACTCAATAAATAGGTACTGCCTGAATTTTTTTAAACTGAATGAATCACCAACTACTGCATTTTTTGTAACATCATTCTCCACTGTTCTGTGGAATTCACCTAACAGGAGATCACTAACAAAGTTAGCAAAGTCAGTCCTATTTAGTCCACTGGTATAAAAATAATAGTCAAGTAAATGGATGGATATGTGACATAAACATGTGATCAAATATATCACAAAGTTCTCAGGAAAGTACCTAAATTTTCCTTCTTTCCTTCTTAGTCTTCCATATGCAATTTATTGAAAACCTCAGGGCCCTCATAGGATGAACTCTGAGACTTTCCTAACTTAATCTCTTACAAAGCAATCCTGTCAGTCTAAGAGAGATCCAAACATGCTGACAGTATTGGAGTCCAATTCATAAACAACATTACACCTCTAAATCTAAATTGACTTTCTACTAGTAAGCAGTATTCTCTAGGCACAGATCTTATCAGGATTTACTTTTAAATAAGCATAGATGTGTGGCTGTATAATCCCATCTAGAGACTGGGGTAAAACCAGTGATTATATTTGAGTCATAGCAACATTTATCGATCCCTTACATTGTGTTAAATACTGTGGTAAATGCTAAAATACATTATCTCATTTATCCCTACACTCTTACAAAGTAGTGTTACTATTATTCCCATTTTTCCAAAGAGGAAATGGAAGCACAGGAACCAGGGTTTAACCACTGGAGTACACTGCTATTTAAAGATGGTTGATGAGGTTGTGTCTGAATTTGCAAAACCCAGAGCAAACCGGGAACTAGCTTCCCTACCCTCAAAATCAGAGCTAGTACCACTCGTTATTCCTTTGCTTTCTCTTTCTCTCTCCTAACCATGTTCTATTCCAGTTTCTCACCATAGACTGCTTTTTGTAAAAGCATCCTTTTTATTGGAATAACAGTGATAAGCAATATTATATTGGTTTCACATGTGCAACATAATGACTTGATAATTATATATATTACTAGATGCTTGCCATGGTTAAGTGTAGTTCCTCCTGTTACCATACCAAAATACTACAGTATTATTGGTTATATTCTATATGTTGTACTTCCATTCCTATGACTGGATTATACTTTCTGTATTACTTACTTTGGACTTCCGGGTCTCTTGCCCAAATTCTCTCCCTCAACCCAGGATTCCCCCAGTTCCACCTACGAAAAGAACATGTGGTACTCCAGGTCCTGGCGAGTTGAATGGGTATAATCCTTGAAGAAGTAGACGCCAGCCACAGCAAAAATGTAGAAGAAGATCAGCAGCAACACCAAGAGGAAGGTCATGCTCTAGAGGCCATGACTATGAGTCAGAGCTGGGCCAGACTAGGCTGATCTCCACCTACAGCCCAGTCAAGCCCACCCTGGCAATCCCTACCAAACCCTCACTTATGGTCCTGAGCCCAGTCATCTCTAGACCACAGCAGTTTGTCCTCAGCCCTTTCACATCCAGTAACATTTCACAGGCTTTTTCACTGCCTCCTTTGATCCACCCAAACTTGTTTCATGTTAAACCCCCGTTTATCCACCTTGCCCACATGGTGTAGCTGCAACAGTCAAATCACCTTGAGGGCCCTGACCAGGGCCAAAATAATGACACGAATTTGATGGAATTGTGCAAAGAGTCTGAGAGACCTCAGCACCCGGCAGATCCTCAGCAGCTGGAGCCACACAGACTGGCCCGTTATCCCTAAAAGTACCACAATCTCAGGAAGCAGGGTCTGTGGGAAACACACAGATTACAAGTGAAATATACCCAGAAGCACCCATGCATAGTTGTCCCTTTTTCATCTCATCTTCTTCATAGTTCCTTGGATACCACCCCTTGAAAAGAATTCTCTAGGGACTGTTTCCTATTCAGCCCTTCTATGATAAATCATTTAAACTCTCTACTTTACCTTCTCAGACATAAAAAGGGGGATATAGTGCTTATCTCACTGGGTTGTTGTGGAGCTCAAATGAAAAAATACATGTAAAACACTTAGAACAGTGCCTGGCACTTAGTAAGTGCTTAGTGAACTGGTAGATATTATTGTTGGAGTTAGTTAATGTGGTTAGATTCTGCCTTGCCCCTAATACCAACAATTCCTCTAATGACTGACTTTGAGTCTTAGGAAAAAAATCAAAATAAGGAAGTTAGGTACATTTCTATTTGTTTCCTCCTGTGATATAATTATCTTAATTTTTCTTGTCATTTTGATTCACCTAGGCATATTCCTCAGCCCACTAAACTAATCCTCAGGATATCAGTCCTTACCAATGTGGTGACAACAAAATCAAAGACATTCCAGGCATTCTTCCAGAAGAGGAAAAAGCCAGATAGCCACATAAGAAGGATCTCAAAGATGAAAATAAGCAAGATGAACCAAGCTGCTACCTCCAGGAACAGCTTCAGGGGCCACAGTTTGGCATTTGAGGACTCAAGCAATTCTGTATGAGAGTAGAGCAAAGGATGAATAAAGATTAAAGAAGCTGAATGATAAAAGCATCATACTGTTATAAACCACAGCTGTAACACAGATGGTACAGCTACAGTGCCCACTGCTCTACATTTTTCCTTGAGTTTCTCTTCTTAATACTATAGCTGCTTCATCCTGTGAATGACAGGGAAGGACAGAATTGAACATGAAAAATAGCTACAGCTCATCTCCTGCTAGTATTGGTAGTCATTGCCTTCCCTCTTTGGAGTTACACAGCCACAAAGGGATTGTTCTCTTAAATACCATCAAGCCTGTCTGCTATACTGTTATCCCAGGCCCAAACTTCACAAAGCAGCAAATGGGACTTGAGAATTGAATGAAAGTGTAGGGCCATGATATGTAAAGTGTCTTATAAGGAATGTAGAAACAGGGAGCCAGAGTCATGGGGCACACTGAGTTATAATGGAACATGACTTGTATATTTGTTAGTGTTTAAAATTCTTTTTTTCCTCTGCCTAACATTTTTTTTTTCCTGCAAAGCAAACTGAATCCTCTACTTCCTCTCTAGAACCCTATTATTTCCTGTTATTCCTTAACTCACTGCCTTCATGTTTTGACCCTCTTCATCTCTTTTATACATTTAATGGATGTATACCATGTTATAGAAAAAACATCAGAAGAGCACATGCAATCACCCTGAACAACACAAACTACTGGAAAATTTTTTTAAACCTAAATAAAATCTTAATATTTATCACATGAATTAGTCTGTTCACAGACTAATAGAAATATTAATCACAAATTATTTCCCTTTGCCAAAATCCATCCTACCTTTCAACCATAGAATGTACTTCATAAAATACAATTTTTATGAACTTGTGAGGTAATTCCCAGTCAGGCAATCCACCTATCCTCTGGCACAGTGATCATGTTTCATATTTGGCTATCTTACCAAACAGAATGGTGAGTGTGGTTCTATTTTGATTTGTCCATTGGATCCAGGGAATCCTGTACACTTACTGCTATTTATTCCAAGGCTTAAAACTATATCCCTAGCCCCACAAGGCAAATACACAAAAAATAGGAAATGTGGGTGGCTTAGTTCAAAATCATCACCATTATGTGGAGGAAATAAAATACTTCAAAGCATATAGTACACTTTGTATACTATACTATATACTTTCAAAGTACATGTATACTGTAGTGGGTCGGTGACATCAGTTATTGTTTTGTATTTAAATATCTCTGACCTGAGTGCATTAAAAGACTATTTAAATTGGGAAACCCACCCAAAACAGTGAGGATAAATAAGGAAGCAAGTAGTTCTACTGTTCTTTCATAATTTCTGAACAGTTTGAGATGATAATCATATTAGCCTATTGATTCCCCAGACTTTTTAAATATATTTCATATAATTGATGTTTGGTTCTAGAGTCACTTACTCTTTAAGTAATTTTTTTGGTTGTACCAAACTTCGCATACACTATGAGCTTTCTTATTTGTACTTAAATAATTTTTCTAAACATATTTGTAAAGTGTAAATGTTGTGTCACTCACCGATAGGCGCCAATTTCTCTAATAAAAAAATTTAAACAAATATTAGACTAAAATGACACAAGAAATATCTGGCCTTCCCATCTCCAATTCCTTGTGAATCTACCACATTCTACCTCAAAGTGTCTAGAATACCTTATATTATCTACTACACTCTTTGGAGCCCTCCTAATATTTCTAGGTCTTGGCAGTTGCACAAATCTTACTTCAGGACACATAACTGTACCTATCACAATTCAAATAATACTCAAAAATGTAAAATTATCAATTTAAGGTAAAAAAGACTTCCACCTACTTCCTCTTTCATTTAAGGTCAGTTCTCACCTATTTGAATCATCAGTACAATCGTATTCAAAAAGATGAGAAAGATGATGAAGTTTGTGAAGAGAGGAGCTGTTTTCTCTTAAGGAAACATACACAGTGGAATTATTTTTCATTTGCACTTGTGAAATAATAAGGGCAGGAAAAGAACCAGTGGGAATGAAAAGAGTTTGGAAAGGGAAAAATAAGTCAACAGAAAAAAACTAATGAAACTAAGGGCTGGTTCTTTGAGAAAATAAACAAAATAGATAAACCCCTAGCCAGACTTACTAAGAAAAAAAAGAATCTACACACATAAACAGAATCAGAAATGAGAAAGGAAAAATCACGATGGACACCACAGAAATACACAAATTATTAGAGAATACTATGAAAATCTATATGCTAAGAAACTGCATAACCTAAAGAAATGGACAACTTTCCTGAAAAATACAACCTTCCAAGACTGACCCAGGAAGAAACAGAAAATCTAAACAGACCAATTACTAGCAATGAATTTGAATTGGTAATCAAAAAACTACCCAAGAACAAAACTCCGGGACCAGAAGGATTCACTGCTGAATTTTGTCAGACATTTAGAGAAGACATAATACCCATTCTCCTTAAAGTTTTCGAAAAAATAGAAGAGGAGGAAATACTTCCAAACTCATTATATGAAGCCAGCATCACTCTAATACCTAAACCAGGCAAAGACACCACAAAAAAAGAAAATTACAGACCAAAATCCCTGATGAACATATATGAAAAACACTCAACAAAATATTAGCAAACTGAATACGAAAACACATCAAGAGGATAATATACCATGATCAAGTGGGATTCATCCTAGGGATGCAAGGATGTTGCAAATGCAAGGATGTTGATGGATTTGAAAATCCATCAACATCATCCACCACATCAACAAAAAGGACAAAAACCTCATGATCATATCCATAGATGCTGAAAAAGCATTTGACAAAATTCAACATTCATTCATGATAAAAACTCTTAACAAAATGAGCATAGAGGGCAAGTACCTCAACAGAATAAAGGACATATATGACAAAACCACAGCCAACATCATACTTAACAGTGAGAAGCTGAAAGCTTTTCCTCTAAGATCGGGAACAAGACAAGGATGCCCATTCTCCTCACTTTCATTCAACACAGTACTGGAGGTCCTAGCCACAGCCATCAGGCAAAACAAAGAAATAAAAGGCATCCAGATTGGTAAGAAGGAAGTCAAACTGTCACTGCTTGCAGATGACATGATATTGTACATAAAACCCCTAAAGAAGCCACTCCAAAACTAGAACTAGTATCTGAACTCAGCAAAGTTGAGAATACAAAATTAATACATAGAAATCTGTTGCATTCCTATACACTAAAGATGAACTAATAGAAACAGAAACCAGGAAAACAATTCCATTCACAATTGCATCAAAAAGATTAAAATACCTAGGAATAAACCTAACCAAGGAAGTGAAAGACCTATACCCTGAAAACTACAAGACACTCCTAAGAGAAATTAAAGAGGACACTAATAAATGGAAATTCATCCCATGCTCTTGGGTAGGAAGAATTAATATTGTCAAAATGGCCATCCTGCCTAAAGCAATCTACAGATTCAATGCAATCCCTATGAAAATACCAACAGCATTCTTCAACGAACTGGAACAAATAGTTTCAAAATTCATATAGAACCACAAAAGACCCTGAATAGCCAATACAATCCTGAGAAGGAAGAATAAAGCAGGGGGGATCTCACTTCCCAACTTCAAGTTCTACTACAAAGCCACAGTAATCAAGACAATATGGTACTGGCACAAGAACAGACCCATAGGCCAGCAGAAGAGAATAGAGAGTCCAGATATTAACCCAAGCATATATGGTCAATTAATATATGATAAAGGAGCCATGGATATACAATGGGGAAATGACAGCCTCTTCAACAGCTGGTGTTGACAAAACTGGACAGCTACATGTAAGAGAATGAAACCGGATTACTGTCTAACTCCAAACACAAAAGTAAACTTGAAATGGATCAAAGACCCGAATGTAAGTCATGAAACCATAAAACTCTTAGAAGAAAACATAGGCAAAACTCTTTTGAATATAAACATAAACAACTTCTTCATGAACATATCTCCTCGGGCAAGGGAAACAAGAGCAAAAATGAACAAGTGGGACTATATCAAACTAAAAAGCTTCTGTACAGCAAAGGATACCATCAGTTGAACAAAAAGGCATCCTACAATATGGGAGAATATATTCATAAATGACATATCCAATAAGGGGTTGACATCCAAAATAAACAAGGAGCTCATGCACCTAACAAACAAAAAGCAAATAATCTAATTAAAAGATGGGCAGAAGATCTGAACAGACACTTTTCCAAAGAATAAATTCAGGTGGCCAACAGACACAGGAAAAGATGCTCCTGATATAGCTAATCATCAGAGAAATGCAAATTAAAACCACAATGAGATATCACCTCACACCAGTTAGGATGGCCAACATCCAAGACAAACAACAGCAAATGTTGGCAAGGATGTGGAGAAAAGGGAACCCTCTTACACTGCTGGTGGGAATGTAAATTAGTTCAACCATTGTGGAAAGCAGTATGGAGGTTCCTCAAAAAACTAAAAAAAGAAATACCATTTGACCTGGGAATTCCACTCCTAGGAATTTACCCTAAGAATGGAGCAGCCCAGTTTGAAAAACACATACACACCCCTATATTTATCGCAGCACTATTTACAACAGCCAAGAAATGGAAGCAACCTAAGTGTCCATCAGCAGATGAATGGAGAAAGAAGATGTGCTACATATACACAGTGGAATATTACTCAGCCGTAAGAAGAAAACAAATCCTACCATTTGCAACAACATGGATGAAGCTAAAGGGAATTATGTTCAGTGAAATAAGCCAGGCAGAGAAAGACAAACTTAAATGATTTTACTCATCTGCGGAGTATAAGAACAAAGCAAAAACTGAAGGAAAAGAACAGCAGCAGACTCACAGAACCCAAGAATGGACTAACAGCTACCAAAGGGAAAGGGACTGGAGAAGATGGGTGGAGGGAGGGATAAGGGGAAAAAGGGACGGTACGATTAGCACACATAATGTAGGTGGGGGGTGGGCACAGGGAAGGTAGTATAGCACAGAGAAGACAAGTAGTGATTCTATAGCATCTTACTACACTGATGGACAGTGACTGTAATGGGGTATGTGGTGGGGACTTGATAATGAGAGGAATCCCGTAAGCACAATGTTGCTCATGTAAGTGTGTATGAATGATACCCAAAAAAAAAAATCATCAGGTAGATGATTAAGCAAAAGAGATGTAAGGGCATGGGGTAAAAATGAGTGGAATGAAAGGATACACTCCAGGACCCATCTAGCCCACAAAGAAAGAGGTGGCCTCTGACTGCAGCGCACTCGAAGCCTGCTCATCGCTCTCTGCGCATGTGTAATCCGGTCTACATGACAAGGCTTTATGGAGAAGCGCACAAACTGGTGTTGATCTCCCAATATAAATTTCCTCTGAAGGGTAGGATCTACACCAAAAATAAAAAAGAAAAGTGAATATATATAAAGAGAAGTCTATGGGGGGTATGAAGAGCAGATAGGATTGGGGATAGGGATACTGGTGACATGATTGTCCCTCTACTGCAGGGACTTGCCTTGCCGTCCTTCTCACGGGAACAATATAATTTTGGGTAACAGCTAATGTATTGCATGTGCCCAACACGGTCCAAGCCCAAGAATGAAGGCAGCAGTTTCCACTCTCAAAGTGTTTAAAGTGTCTTTGGTAGAAACTTCCAAGTCAGCCCCGACAAGTAGTTACGTAGGCCTAAAAGTTAGTAACATGGGTTCTAACTCCTGGATTGGAAGTTTTATTTATAACGCCTATCATTTATCAAGTTTGGTACAACTTCCAAACTTGCAAACAAACCAATCTCCCATGAATTTTCCACCCTTAAAATTGTCTTTCTGCTTCCTACTCTTTAGAGGGTGTGGAAGGCCGTCTTAAATTTATCCAGCTTCTGACCAAGTATCTCTCGGAGAGTATGTCGTGGCACAGCTTGGCTCAAGCCTTGCAGATGCTCGATGAGAGAGAAAGTATCAATGAGACGTGAACGAATGGCATCAGCTCTGGGCAGCTGCGTGTGTCCTGTTGAATGATAGGCGGCCATGTCTGTTAAGAGAATGTAAGAATAAAGTGTCATTTCATTCTTGAGTTGCACCAAGGACTAGAGGTTTTCTTCCCCTCCTCCCGTTCTCTTTGCCCTTAAGAAGTCAAAGGTTCTTTCTGCTAAGACTCAAGGTTTTTTGAAACAAAAGGAGATAGCAGTTGTAAGATACTGCACACTTTACTAAGTGGCTAGGCACTTTCACTTCTTTGACAGCATTTTCAATTAAAAGTAGCAGCCCCAAGGGCAGGAGTCCCGGGGCTGGACAGAGGAATTCGGTCACCACCTGGAATCAGGCAATGCAATGAGGCGGGGCAGAGGCAGCCCCTCACCAAAAAAAAAAAAAAAGTTAAGAATTGGGCAAAGTGCAACAGTCCGACATTTTGAGAACGTGTCCCGTTCCAAGTGGGTCCACTCCAAGGTTCCCCCGGGTGCTGATCCTCTCAAAGCCCCGCGGCCGGGCCTCATCTCAGCCCGGGCGCTCCTCCGCCCACTCAGCCTGACTTCACTCCTCCGCCTCGGGTTCTGGCGCCCTCCGAGCTCCGCCCTCCCCACGCAGGACGAGCTCAAGATCGGAGCCCAGCCTCGCTGCACCGCATATCCTGCTCCGCCCGCCGCACCCGCACCCCGGGGTCGGGCTCGCCGCAGTAGCCAGCCCGGGTCAGCCGAACCGGAGCCTTCCCAGCCCCACTCGCCCCGGCGCCGGCCGCTTCGGCCCCGCCCCGCGCTCCCGCCACCCGACAGTTACCGGCTGGGCCCGCCCGCCCGACGCAGGCGCCGCGGAGCCAATCGGCGGCTGCCACACTACGGCCCGAGCCGGGCTGGGGGTTGGGACCTCCGGCTGCAGGTCCGCTTGGGCAGACGCGCGAGCGCAGACAAGAGTGTGCGTGGTTACCGGCCCGGCCTCCGCAGTCCTCGCCGAGCCCCGAGCCCCGAGCCCCGACCCTCCTGCCGACCCCAGCCTTACCTCGTCACCATGCGTCTCCGCTGCCTAGCGCTGTTCCCGGTCGTGGCGCTGCTTGCCGCAGCCCGCCTTAGCGCTGCATCCGACGTGCTGGAACTCACAGACGACAACTTCGAGAGTCGCGTCTCCGACACCGGCTCTGCGGGCCTCATGCTAGTCGAGTTCTTCGCGCCCTGGTGAGGCCGCTAGGCCTGGGTGGGGGAGGGAGAGCGGGCCGGGCTGGGCCGGGGGCGAAGGCACGCGGACGGTTGGGCCCACGCAGCGCCAGCGCTCTCCACCATTCCTGCGGGCCTGCCTGTGGCCGGCAGATTTTCCACCCCAGGGAGCCGAGCTATCCGTCTCAGAGCGAGAAGTTGGTGATGATCTCCAGGGAACGAGACCCGAGGAGGAAAACCAGAAGGCCCTTCTCACGCAGGGCCACATCCTTACCCCGGTGCTCTTGTGGCACTTTCTATTTGCAGAGGGTTTACCGCCCCCTTCGATTGCTATCTTTACGGTTTTTGGGTGAGTCTGTGTTAATGTTCTCTATCCTACAGACGAGGCATCCCAAGGCCTTATATTGGAAGCGAACGTTTCGCCGTGTGCAGTGGCCCTGGTCTCCCAGGGTACTTCCTTCCTCTTGCCCCTCTCTCCGCAGCTGTTGGTTTCTAGCCAAGGTCACTCAGTGGCTGCGGAATGGTCATAGTGCTTGAGGCAGGCAATTATTTTGTCCAGCGCATGTGCACGTTCTCCATTAAGCTGATCATTTCTCAGCACCAGGAAAATTCCGTCAAAAAGAGTAGGTAAACAAGAGTAATTCCGTCTGACTCTGCCTAAATTGTAAGTTTTAATTCGGATTTCTGAAAAATGCCATAAAAGACTCCAATGAGAAAATAATCACCGTTGGAGAAATACTCCACTTACGGGTGATTTAACTGAACAAGGGTATAAATTATTTAGGATAGAACTAACTCGAAATAAAAAGCTGTATGTAAGGGAGAGAGCAAATAGGATTTCTGGCCCAGTAAATTTGACTATTGCTTTTTTTTTTTACCCCCATATCTTTACCACAGCAAAGTGATTATCTTAATGCTTGGGATAGCTCAGTATACCCATGCTAACTACAGTACTTAATTTTTCTCCTGCCACAATGATCCTTAATTAAAAACTTACTGTATTTAAAAGTATCAGTAAAACAAAGTATAACTTTTGACTTGCTTCTAACTCTGGAGGTTCTTCACTCTGCAGGGTCTCAGCTGACTTTGCTGAGGGTTATACCAGAAGTCCTATAGTGAAGACCATCTGAACTAGAAGGATGTGCTAGAGGCAATACATTTTGTTTTGTTTTCAGCTTTGATCCATTTGGCACCCAGGCATTCCTGTGGCTAACTGGCAGTACTGACGATTATACATCCTAGGAGGTCTTTATACATCTCTAGAATTCACATTCTTAGAGACTGCTCTTCTCAATATATGTAATGCTGTTAACTTCTGAGAGGTGTCACTTGTAATTAGAACGGCTGTATGGGGTGTCAGAACTGGGTGGTGCTTCTGTGGCTACAGGGGTCAACATGAAGCGAATTGCTGGAGAATTGTGGGCTTAGTTAGACTGTTAAAGATTTTTTTTTCCCCCGATAGGTGTTCTTCCTTATTTTAAGTTCTTGCATATACTTCCCTAAAAACTACATATCCCATCATGCACCAAGTAAAAGGTGTCTGATTTTAATTGGTTTAGAAGGTTAGGTCATCCTCCAGAAGGCTGGGGAGAAGGATAAGTTTTCTGAATGAGTAATTTGGAATCACAGAAGTCTGATGATGTCCTTATTTCTGCACATTCAGCTGTTTAAACTAATAATGCTTCAGCTGGAAGTGTTTTCTGGCTGCTATATTCTTTTGTACAGATAAGGGTACTAGCTCACAAGTTATGAACGGTTAAAGAATCCTTACTAAGTAAAATGGACCTATTTTGATGTGTTCTTTTTCTCATTTGTTTTAGAGTGTCTTTTTCACTTCCATTTCACAAGTGAAAGTGGAAGACTTCTTTGAAGTTGACTTCGTAGACTAGTATTTCCTTTATGGAGTTAATCTCCCCAATTTGTAAGACAGGGAGTATCTGAATTTCTGTGGGGAGTAAATAAATAGCACTATTTAAATGTTATACTTACTGAAAATACATTAATCAGTGTTAAGTTTTAAGTTCTCAACTTATGTTGAAGATTTGTGCCCTACCTCTAGGACAGTAGTAGTACAGTATTTGATATCCAATGTCTTTTGAGTATGGAAAAAGATTATGTGGATAATATAAAATGGAATATTTAATATTTCTTTTTATATATGTTGATTCCTTCCTTGGACAGCTGATTGCTCCCTCCTCTATTGGGACCTGATAGTACTATTACCCCTGCCAACTGGTGTCCCCATAGGGAAAGGACTCAGTTTTTCTGTCAGAGGTTAAAATAGCATGTGGCACATGGCAAGGATGAAATGATGATATATATGTTGGGATTCTGTATTAACTTGATAGGTGCCATCCCTGAAGGTGGATGGGTTGTTTTAAAATTATCTAGGAGTGGGTAGAAGAAGTAGTGGTTAATCTTGGTGTTCATCTTCAAACTCCACCTGAGTTCCATTCCTAGTGACTTTGACAGAGGCAGTCTCCTCCAGCCTCGTTGGAGCTCGTCAAACAGGTCCTCCCTTTGGGCATTTTATGACATTACGATTATTGCCAATGCTTAGGGCAATAGTATTCCAGTTCCAGTGATGTCACTTACACATATATACCTTGCTACACCCCTCATTCCCTCCTGGATTACTAAGTCCCAGGGTAGAGCTCAGGCATGGTTTTTTCTTTTTTTTTTTTAATGCTCCATGGATGTTTTTTATATGTATCTGGGTTGAGACCCAGTGGTCTGGCCTAACTACATTATTTTTTTCTCTTCAGATGTTCTAAGATTGTTGAGATGAAGTTATTCTTAAGTCTGTTGCCTCCACCTTGACAATTACTGCACATTCAATAGTAATCTCTTCTGTTTCTTCTTTATTCTCATTGCTGGCCCACTGGTCCAAGTTTTCAACTTCTCCCATGTGAAATATATTATCTTCTAGATGGCTTTATTCTTATCTCTGCTTTCCCCCTTCCTGTCAGTTCTGTATACTGCCGACTGATGTGGTCTTAATACACATAACCCATTTATTATCTTTTTTTTATGCCCTTCACAGTTCTCTGAATGTATCATTCTCACTAGTAATTTCACCTTTGCTCTACTATTCCCCTTATCTAGAATACCCTACTCTGTCCTGTGTGAAACCTTAAGTCCTTAAAGACCAAGATCCAATTCTTACTCCCTTCCACCTTTTTCAAAATTTGAGCCCTTATGATATTCCCAATTGCCTGAATTTCTCAGGCAGTTATTGTATTATATTAAATCAGCTGGAATTTGTGTTTTCGCTACAACCCAACTACACGAATTACTATTCAGTATTAAAGGAATACAGAGGATGTAATGAATAATACCGTATTCCAAAGACATCTAAGATAACACTGATTGTGAGAGAACGATTATGTCTCTCAAAGAAAGAAATGCTACCATTGAAACTATGACACGATTGCAGAACACATCCTAGTTTCTGATACGGTAAGATGTGCATCTGTGAAATACATTATAAGGAATACCTTTTATTAATATCAGTCTAAAAAATATAGCCAGTATAGTTGAAGCACCCTGTGAATCCTTTCACCATCTTAGGCAGTCCCCATCCTGAATTTGGTGTTTATTATTTGGTCCTTTCATAGTTTCAGTATGTATGTGACCCTAAGCAACATCTGATGTTACAGTCCTCTTTTATATCATTGTTCCTTCATTTAAGCTTTCTAATGATTATTTTTTAGTAGGACATCTAAAGGCCTTGGAGAACATAAGTAGGGGACAAATGTCTCCAAGTTATTTATCCATCCATCACCTAATAAAATGAATTTTGAGACTGTTGGGTATTAAAAATAGCAGCCCAAGTTTCTTGCATGTATCCTTGCTTCTGTTTTCCAGTTCTTCCTATTTTTGCTGTTTGTGGGGAGATTACAGAACGACTTACCTTCTCAAAGTGATCCCTCTGCAACCCATCGGCTTTTAAAGAGATGCTATGTTAATTGGTGCTAGCTGTATGCTGATGAAGAGGCGTACCTTCCCCTCCCCCCATTGCATATACAGGGTGCCTGTGGGACTGATAGGACTTTCCAGGCTGAGGAGCAGGTGTTTGTGACGATCCTCTCAGAAAATATTCTAATTAACGTAACGTTTTATCTTCATCAGTTCTTGTAGCCAGGTGAGCTGTGTAGCTGTAAAAATCAGGCTCACCATCTTAAGTATGTCATTCTAATGTTGTGTTGAAACTCAGTTAAGACCCAGAAAGCCTGCAATGAGCTACTAGAGTTTATCAAGTGATTCCCTTTTGGACCTCATTCTCCTACCCCCTCAAACTGGGTTTCTGGTCAAAGAGTCATATTTAAGGAATGGTGAAAAATTACTTGATGGTGATTCTTTGAGTTAATATCATACTTGGAACCTTGTAAGTTATACATTTTTTAAATAATTTACTATACTTTAAAGAACCACATGCTGATTTCCTAAGGAAAAAATGAACCTTCTTTGGGAAATACTACCAGGAATAGTGTTATTGCTATCTTAACCTTCATTTCATCCTTGTTAATTGGTCAAAAGGGTCTGAGCCCTTTCTTTAATGTGGAGTGTGCTTCTGACTATAGTTTTTCAAGGCACAATTGTGTTTTTAATTGAGAAAACATGCTGCTCTGGACTGAGCTAATCCTATAGAGTCAACCTCAGGCTAGAGATAGTACCTTTACCTTCTGAGGGCTCTGGTTTACCTAATTGGTAATGGATATTGTTAAGAAGGTGATTTTTGCTTTTGGGTACAGCTGCTATTTCAAAAGTAGTAGTAATGGTTTGGGATTCTTCTAGTGAAACAAAGTTAACAGTCTTGTAGCATTAAACTGAGAGCCTGGTGTTTTAAAAAATTTATCTGTATAGGTGTGGACACTGCAAGAGGCTTGCACCTGAGTATGAAGCTGCAGCTACCAGATTAAAAGGAATAGTTCCATTAGCAAAGGTGAGTATAGGTGGGTTCTTCATTAAAGGAAATGAGGTATTTTTAATAGTAGATTGTAAAATCAACATTCATTTTCTCTTATGGTGCTAAGAAGAGAGAACATCAGTTTCTGGGCAAATACACAACTGACAGTTGTGTTGATTATAGTTTCAAAAGATTAGAAGTAGTGAAACTAAGGTAAATATTGGTATAAGAAAGACACGAAAATAAGTGATAAGGATTAAGGGGCAAATATGGAGAGTAAAAGTACTATAGTCAAGATGAGAGGAAAACTATGGAGTAAATAAGTTCCCTAAACTACCGTATATTGACAATGATGAATAAGAATAAGAAAATGACACGAGACTATTGGTAAGACTGATAACTGTAAGTGGTCACTGGTAAACTTCCCAGTATATGCTTTTACAGCCAAAGTAGTGCTTCCAGAATTTTGCCATTATTCTGTAGTGGACCCAGTTATAGTTGGTCCAGTGTAAAAGCTCATATCTCAGCCAGCCTCCAGTCAGTAGTTCAGACATACACATATATAGGACTGGTTTTGGAAATTGTTTTTAATCCTAATGGTTCTATGGCAGCTTGCCACAGAAAAAGAAGAGTTCAGTCATGGTTTAATTTGTTTCTCACAAGGCTTTAGCCTGTGTTACTATAGACATGACTTTTCTGAACCTCACTTTATGTAATAAAGTGAACCTCACAATGTAATAAGCATTGGTGTCATACCTCAGAATCTTGTGAAAATAGTATATGCAAAGTGCCTTTCACACTGCTTAGTTTGTTTTGGAGTAAGTGGCAAAATCAATGAAAATTATTTTCCTTCTTCCTTGTAAGTCCTTGCTTGACCATTTTATGATTTGACCAATCTTAATAATTTGGGAATATAAAAACTGGCATTTGGATAACAAATGATTCATGTGTGTTTTAATCTTTAGGTTGATTGCACTGCCAATACAAATACCTGTAATAAGTATGGAGTCAGTGGATATCCAACCCTAAAGATATTTAGAGATGGTGAAGAAGCAGGTGCTTATGATGGGCCCAGGACTGCTGGTAAGAATCTTGGATTACATTCTGGAAATCGAATTTCAGTACCCTGTTTTTTGTAGTGGGAACATGACTTTTTTCTCTACAACATAATAACAGTCTTTAAAATTCCTCATCAAAGAGGTCAGTTTGGTGGCCAACAAAAGACTTCTCTAAGTGAACAGGTTATATAAGTAATGCAGAAAATACCTGACCTTGAGTTATAAGGTCTACTAGGCATTTTTTTATATGTCAAATACTTATTGAGTAACTAGTCTGTGCCAGATATTCTAAATATACTAGATAATCAGTATTGATAAAGCAGACAAGGGTCCTATTCTTGTGGTGCTTACATTCTGGAAGATGAAGAGAAGAAAGCAGCAAACAAGTTTTAAAATATATATAGATAGCCACCTCATATCCATTAGGTTGGCTAATATCAAAAAGAAAAAAAAAATGACAAGTGTTGGTGAAAATGTGGAGAAATTGCAACCCTTTTGCACTGTTGGTGTGAATATAGAATGGTGGCAGCTATCATAGAAAACAGTATGGCAGTTTCTGAAAAAAATTAAAAATGGAATTGCCAGATCCACCAATTTCACTTGTGGATATATCCAAAAGCATTAAAAGTAGGGTCCCTAAGAGATATTTGTATACCCATGTTTTAGCTACATCGTTCACCCATGTTCATAGCAAAAGGGTGGAAGCAAACCAAGTGTTCATCAATGGATGAATGAATATGCAAAATGTGTATTAACAAACTTTTGTAAATGTTTATATAATACAGTGGAATATTATTTAGCCTTAAAGAGGAAGTTCTGGCATGTGCTACAACATGAATGAACCTTGAAGACATGCTAAGTGAAAAGGCAAATACTGCGTCATCCCACTTATATGAGGTTTCTAGAGTAGTCAGATTCATAGAGATAGAAAATAGAATGGTGGTTCCCAGGATCTGTGGGGAGGAGAGAATTGGGAGTTGTTTAATGGGTAGAGTTTCAATTTTGCAAGATGAACACAGTATTTTAGATTGGTTATATAGCAGTGTGAATGCACTTAATGCCATAGAACTGTGCAGTTAAAAACGGTTGAGATAGTAAATTTTATGTTATATATATTCTGTCATAACTGAAAAATTTTATATGTCAGTAATACATAGGGATAAGATAAATTCAGATAGAGATAAGAGCATTAAAGCAAAAAATAAAACCATATAATGTGATAGTTATTGGAGTTGGGAACACCACATAATCCGAGTGGTCAGGGTGGTAACCTTTGAGCTGAGACCAGAATGACAGGAACAGGCTCGCCATGAGAAGATACTGGGCCAGAGCCTTAAAGGCAGAGACAGCAAGGACAAAAAGGCCCTAAGGTGTAACTGAATTTAATGTGTTCAAGAGAGGAAGACCATGTGGCTGTAGTATAGTTGGCAAGGGTGACAGGAAGTTTGAGAGGTAAGTAGGGATGCAATCCCATAGAACCCATAATTGATGAGAAAAAAATACTTTGGACAATTTTGTCTTGAGTCTATCAAATAATCAGTGTATTTTACCTTTTTATGATGGAAAATTCAGAGAAAAAGGGTTCAGTTTGCGTATTTTAGGTGACATAGAATTTTTTCAGTATGTTTGATTGTTACTCATATACAAAGCTCTGTCTAACTCTGACGTCATCACAGACTTTCTTCACCTTAGGACCTTTGCCCTGGCTATATTCACAGCCTAAAATGATCTTCCCCCATGTTTACATGACTTCCTCTTTTTTGTCATTCAGATCATGGCTTAAATTTTACCTCCAAGAGGCTTTCCCAAGCCACTAGACCTAAGGTAGCCACCCAGGCATTTTCTCATCACATCTTCCTCTTAGCTCTATGGACAGCGCTAGTTACTGATTTTTTTAATTGTTTACTTATTTGGAGATTTGTTTATTATTTATTTGGTAATATACTAAAATTGTAAGCTTCAAGAAAGCAGATACCTTGTTTGATATATTTACTACTCTATCTCCAGCCCCTAGATTTTTCCACATGTAGTAGATAACTCAGTAACTGTTAAATGCAGAAAAAAATGTTTTGGCATAATGGACATCAGTTAGCCAACATTCAGAATTTGATGTCTAAGCACAGAAGGAAAAATCATTTTTTCTTCTATGATGTTAAAAGAATTAATGAAGAACCCATTGTTACCTTTCAAATTTTATTAGTTTATTATAGAGTAGATTTAACAGAATTATTGGTATATTTTTCTCTGAATTTGGACAGGTCTTAATAAAATTGTAGTGAACCCAACCAGACTGCTACTACTCAGATACTCTCACTTGGGCTGTAACATAGATTTCTTAAACTCAGGAATTTCTCAGCATCTAACTAGGAGGTCATCTATTTGGCTACTTAGTGTGTATTATTTTGTTTATGAACTCCTCTCAGAACTATACTGTGTGTCTTCCTGCTTAAACTGGTTACTCAGCACTACCATTATACCTCCCAGAACATTTTAAATACTCAGGGAGAAAATAACACTTTTCATCAGAGCCCCAAGGTAAACTTTATAAGTTATATTGTGATACAGTAATAATGGTCCCCTTGAAGACTAAAAAATTCATATCTGATTCCAACCAATATAGTGATACAACCCCTCTTCTCTGAGGAGTTGAAACATTTAAAAAGGAAAAAAAAAATCCATGAATGGAAGAGAAGGGAAAACTACCTTAGAAAAAATGTGAAATAGGCTCAGTCATGTTGAAAGAATTAAACAGTGAACTGCTCACCCAGTTAGCAAATCACTGGAGTACTTAGAAGAGAAAAGGCATGGACAAGGCAAAATATTATGGTGGAGTAGCACTGCCTCTGGCCTGTGAGCATTTTGAGCTTGTGAATGGTTTCAGTGGACGCCGGAAGAAAATTGAATAATGGTCTGTCAACTAGGCTTAAGGGCTAAAAGGATTTTTTTGTGTTTTGTGTATGATGCTTATCCCTAAACTGTTTTACTTACCTAGCCTCTTTCGACTCGGTAGGAAAGTGTGATTTGGGTGGATCGTGCACATGGCATGATTTAACCTATATATAGTTAAACACCTTTACAAGCTAGCCAAGTCATTGCATTTTCTGCTTTCAAAATGTAAGGCTGCAAGTGACTCTTTGTGCTACTTGAGAATAAGAGATTTGTTCTTTTAGTTTATTTGCAAAATGGATGTTTCTTGAACTTGTATGTGCTAGGTATTATTCTTAGAGGTTGATACATATCAGTGAGCAAAACAGACAAAAATTCCTACCCATTTGGAATTTATGCTGTAGTGGGGAGAGAGAGATAAAAGTAATAAGGCTGGATGGAGTGTATTAATCAGATGGGTGAAAGTGCTATAGAGAAAAATAAAGCAAGGAAAGGAAGTAAGGGAGTGTTGGAGGTTGGATAGGTTTTAGTTTTTAATGGGATGGTCAGGGAAGGCTTCACTGATAAGGTGACATTTGAGTAAACTAAAGGAGGTGAGGAAGGAAGCCAGGTGAGTATCTGGGGAGAGTTCTCAGCAGAGAGAATAACATGTACAAAGGCACTATTTAATTTGCATTGTTGCTAACACTTCATAACATTACCAGTAGGGGTCTAAATAAGTACTGTCTCTTTGGGTCAGCTTAACAATTATAAATGCATGTACTCTTGGACCCAGTGAATCCACTTCTAGGAATTTACCCTGCAGATCTACTCAGTCATGCAAAATGACCAGTATAAGGTTATTTATGCAGGGTCATTTATAACAGCAAGAAGTTGGAAACAAATGTCCATCAATTGCGGCTGGTTAAATAAACTTGGTATATCCAAACACTGAAACACTATGCAGCTAGAAAATAGATTGAGGTAGCTCTTTATGTATATTGACATAAATTATCTCTAAATTATGTTAAATGACAAAAAGAAAATATGTAACAGCAACGTGTAAACTGCCATTTGAGGAGAAGGGAAAAGAATAAATATGTAATTGCCTGTTTATGCATAATGTCTAGAAGGATATACAAAAAACTGAAATACTATTCTATGGGGAGGAAACTGGGTAACTAGGGATAGAACCAGAAGAAAACTTTTCATTTCATACCATTTTGAATCTTGTGAACTTTGAGTCTAGTGAGTGATTACCTTCTTAAAAATTATAAATTTGTGTTGCTATAATTTTTCATCTTGTCTTTTAAGATGGAATTGTCAGCCATCTGAAGAAGCAGGCAGGACCAGCTTCAGTTCCTCTCAAGAGTGAGGAGGAATTTGAGAAGTTCATTAGTGATAAAGATGCTTCTGTGGTGGGTGAGTAGCAAATATTTGATGATACCATGTAATCATCAACTTGGTTTCATAAACCCTCTATGCCTGAGTAAACACAAAGGTAAAACAGTTTAGGAAACCTTGGAGACAGATGAAAGGCAACTCAGAGAATTAAGTCATCATTATTATAATGTGGGAAAAATTTAGTGGTTTTGTGTTCTTATAGATGTGAAAGTTTAATTTCAATTAAAGAACTAAAATACGATACCTTCATCTTTGTCTGTCACATCTTAAACTCTGAGACTGAACTGAAATAATAAGGTAGTTAATACTGAAAATATAGGTTTTAAGGTAGGAGGATACAAGTAAATAACAAACCTCTGTGTCTGATATTTTCAGTCACAGGAATTAGCATTTAAAATCAAATTGCTAGAATTTGTTTATTTTTACAGCAATCTTTTCTTTCAGGTGTTGCAGTACCTCATTTTATCCTTAAAATAACTTGAGGCAATGAAACCTGTTCTACTGCTTGGGTGTTCTTTGTTTTTTCCTAAATGTAATGTATGATATGTTTGACTAAAATATAAATTTAAACAGTGTAAGCTGTGTTTGTACTCCTCTTCATCTCCTAATTACTATAATAAAACACATTCTGGCAATAGAAATTATTTAACCTTGACTAAAAGCCACTTCTTACTGTCTGGATTTTACTGACTGTATATTTTACAAGGAGTTAAATGTAAGTAGACATTTAATAAACACATAAGATTCAGTCACTTTTCTAGACTTGAAGTTCTAAAGACAAGTTAGACAGAAAAAAATATAGTAATTTACAATTTATTTTGAAACATTGTCTTATTTAATCCTTCTCATACCTGAAATAGTACCTGAAACTCTTAAGAAATTAAGCAAGTTGCCCAAATGTATTCAGCTATGACACCTAGAACTAAACTTGCATTGTGACAAATCCTCTCCATTGGCTCCCTCAAAAAATATTTTTTAAAGGATAGAAGAAGAATTCTCAACCTGAATATGCTGGCAAATAATCTAGGTAGTCATGGCAAAGCAGACCCAGTCGTCACACCCTTCTTGCTCTGCTTATCCATAATATGATAAAGGGTTTGAAAAATAGAAGAATGTTTTAAGTTTTGAATATGTTTCAGCACTTACTGTTTCTTTCTTGTGTTTGACATTTTCTGCATAGGTTTTTTCAAGGATTTATTCAGTGAAGCTCACTCTGAGTTTCTAAAAGCAGCCAGCAACTTGAGGGATAACTACCGATTTGCACACACCAGTGTTGACTCTCTGGTAAACAAGTATGATAATAATGGAGAGTAAGTAACTGAGTTGAATCCACTTATAAATCTCTGGACCAAGTGCTGTTGTATGAACTGGCTGTTTTTATCTCTAGTTTTTCCAAAAGATTTATTGAGCACTTGTCTAGGCATTAAGCTAAGTTCTGGAAACTGTTGCAGCCTTTGAGGGGCATCTAGTAGGGGGAACATGAATATATTTAAAAATATAAGTGTTAAGTGAGTTTTATAGTTGTCCACATAGAAATATGGAGTATACTGGAAGGACAGGAGGGAGGAATTTTTTCTTCTGGGGAGTAGTTATTTTTTCTGGTAGGGAGTAGTATCATAAAAACTTCATAGAGGAGGTAACTCTTGAGGTGTGTCTTGAAAGATAAACTTTTTCAGGCAGGTTATGGCGGTTGGGAAAAAAGTTATTCCAGATAGAGTAGCCAAAGTGAAGGCCCTGAGATGTGAAACAGCCTTGACATGTTGTGACCTGTACTACTGCTGGATTATTGTTTGTAAATGAGGTCAGAGTAGAGGTTAGCAGAGACCAAATTATAGAGGACCTTAAGTGGCATACAAAATAATTTATATTTTATCTGTTAGATATTTGAGAGCCATTGAAAGACTTACCTGGAGAGAAATGTGATTAATTTTGTGTTTCAGAAAGTCACCCTAGTGTGGGTGGTGACTTTTGACATATGACAGAAAAATCCTGTAGTGGTTTGAAAGAGGAGAAATGGCAAAGCAGCCAGAAGAGTCTACGGGTGACATTGAGAGTCTAAAGGCAGTATTGGGGACAGTGGAGAAGGAGTGAATATAAGAAATGTAAACAGTAGGATTTGGTCCCTAACCATGTGTGAAAAAAGGAAGATTTAGAGTGAGTCTCAGTTTCTAAAGATTGAGATGTGTGGGCCAGTGAAAGTCATCAACCTGGGAATGAGACAGAGATAAACCTGACAGGAATGATGGGGAGTCCTGTTTGGCACAGTGAGTCTGAATAAGGTGAGACACACAAGTGGTGAAGACCCAGCGGATGACTGGATAAATGTGACTAGAATTCAGGAAAAGTTCTGTAGTAGAGATAGATTTATAGGCCAACCACATTAAGTGATTATTGAAACTGTGGGACTAGATGAGGTCACTTAGGGTGAAAACATAAAGTAAAAAGGAAAGTGTGCCAAGGGCTAGTGTTATTACTTATATTTATATGTAGTGTTTACTAGGAGCCATTTACTGTGACTCATATAATCCTCTTAACCTAATGGGACAGATCTGTTATCTCCATTTTATAGAGGAGAAAGCACACAAAGAAACTGAGTAATTTGCATAGCTTCACACAGCCATTAAATGGCAGAAATGGGATATGAACCTAGAAAGTCTCGCTGCAAAGCTGGTAGGTTTAACCGTGAGGCTCTACTGCCTTTTAGATTGAGATGCCAGGACTCTTAAGTGGATGTGGAGCCACTTGTGGCTCATTAAGCACACCATATACCAGCCTGTTAACCTTATATTTGTACATTGTGGCCACCTCTAACATGCCATTTAAAGTGGCCTACCAGCCTCTAATCAGAAGTCTTACTGAAAATACCTTAATGTGAAGGGTGTCTTAAGGTCTTCATGTATATACCAAGGCCATATCATTAAAAAGCACAGTTGGATAAGAGTGTATATCAGTGATACCTTAAAAAAAAAAAAAAACAGTTGGAACTGCTTGATTTCTATTATTTTGGAATAACTGCTCTGAAATTGGTAACTATAAAAAAAAAACCTTAGCCCTGCGCACATTCTTGCTTGACCAACATGTTTGTACTAAGTTCCCTTTTGCTACATAGTTTATCTGTGTTTTGTTAAAATGCCTTTGTTTTAATTGGCACAAAGTTAATGGTTAATATTGGAAAAGTGAGAGTGGAATATAAGGACATAAAGCCTAGCTAAAAACAAGTGATAAGATTGTAGTGGGTGTGGGTGTGTAGTGTGGGGAGAAGGAAAGAATGGAGAAGCTAAAGGCAAGACATTGATAATTTAGAAGAGTGGTATTTTCTAGGAAAGCTGGTAGTAGACACAAACCTGTGATACAGAACCAAACTGGGGTTCATTTTTAGCTGAACAAAAGGCTAGAAATTAAAGAAGAAATTTGCTTCAAGTGTTCATGGGGTGAGGAATGCTTACCAAGTAGCAAGAGAAAAATTTGTAAACTTGGGTTATTGGGATAGAGAAATCTAGAACAAAGGAATTTTGAATGAACTCAAACTAAACATTATCTAGAATTCTATACCTACCATAGAATTTCACAGCTGGAAGGAAGCTTAAAGATACTTTCCCTAATGAAGTTGGTTTTCAAGGAGAGTGGCAGAGTAAGGTACCTTCCAATAGGAGCAAGCTCTATTTTATTGTACATATTGAGAATTTGGGGTGAGTTGGGTTGTTTAGTATAGTTTTTAAAGGGTTGGAAATTAGTCCTCTATTCTAACCCCCCTTAACCTTCTTTTGTACTGATAAAAAAGCGGAAGCCCAGAAGGATTAAATTGATACCAGGCCCAAGGTCTTTTAAATTAGTGGTGGAGCTAGAATTTGAATCATGGTTTCCTAACTTTTAAAACCAGGGTTTATTAAGCCCTCATACTCAGTCCTGGCACTTGATACTTAGGTGTTTAGTACCCTAGTGTTGATGAGAATGTCCTGATGCCAAGTCCATGGTCCCAGAAAAAAAGTCCTTATATACTTAAATGGTATTAGTAAAAGTGGTAGTAAGAATAGCACTACCGCTTAGCTTTACGTAGTCTGAGCTTAAAGTAAAAGGGAGACAGTTCTGCTGTTCTACCTACAATACTCTCACTTTTTTTTTTAAGGGGTATCACCTTGTTTCGTCCTTCACATCTAATGAACAAGTTTGAGGACAAGACCGTGGCATATACAGAACAAAAAATGACCAGTGGCAAGATTAAAAAATTTATCCAGGAAAATATGTGAGTACCTTTTTATGCCTTGTTTGGGATTTCACAGCTTTGTTTTAGTTTGTTTACCTCAGTTATTAAGCCAAGTCATGTTTTGGATTAAATACATTCAAGGAATTGTAACAATAATAGTTGAGGTTTATATTTAAAGCAGTAATGTATGGGCCATAGCACTCCTATTATAGTCATGTAGGGTGTATTGCTCAGTATTCATCCTCTGTGTTGAAAATTACTTTATAAGTGCTGTCAGTTACTTGTGATAATTCCATAATATAGCTATAAACCCACCAAATTTGCTAATGGATGATTTCCTTTCAGTTTTGGTATCTGCCCTCACATGACAGAAGACAATAAAGATTTGATACAGGGCAAGGACTTGCTAACAGCTTACTATGATGTGGACTATGAAAAGAATGCTAAAGGTTCCAACTATTGGAGAAACAGGTAATGCAAAAATCATTTTTCCATTTTTTTTTTTGATCTACTTTCTACTGGTATTTGGGCTCTTTTTTTATTCTGTATAGGGGACTCAATGCACTATCATTAATCAACCCCAAGCCTAATTCTCAACAGTCTCCAATCTTCTGAAGCATAACGAACAAGTTTTTACATGGTGACCAAGTTCTTACATAGTGAATAAGTTCTTACATGGTGAACAGTGCAAGGGCAGTCATATCACAGAAACTTTCGGTTTTGATCACGCATCATGAACTATAAACAATCAAGTCAGATATGATTATTCGTTTGATTTTTATACTTAATTTATATGTGAATCCCACATTTCTCCCTTATTATTATTATTATTATTTTTTAAAATAAAATGCTGAAGTGGTAGGTAGATGCAAGGTAAAGGTAGAAAACAATTTAGTGCTGTAAGAGGGCAAATGTAGATGATCAGGTCTGTGCCTATAGACTAAGTATTAATCCAAGCTAGACAAGGGCAACAAAACATCCACGGATGCAGAAGAATTCTCTCAAAACAGGGGGCATGAGGTTCTAAGCCTCACCTCTGTTGATCTCCAATTTCTCACCTGATGGCCCCCCTGCGACTGTGCCTGTCTTAGGTTGTTCCTCCCTTGAGGAATCTTACCCGTCTCTGGCTTCATTTTTCCATTTTTAAACAAATTTACCCAGTGTGTAAACAGTTCCTTCTAACTATCCTGTTAACCATTTGTGATGTGGGAGCCAACAGGAGTGGGACCAGTTGGCTCCCAAAAACCTACATTGAAGCCATTACGGCAAATAACATAGATTATTTCCCAAATCTACTGGGCAATCTTCGATAGGTATTCCTCTTGCCTTGTGACACAGCTAATTCATAACCTCCCAGTAAAAGATGCAAATGTAACCTAAAGTATACTTTAAAACATTGTGCCTACTGGCCCATTGAGACTGTCAGTGCATTTTATCCTTACAATTTTTCTTTTCAGATTAGTCATTGTGCCTGCAATATTTTACAGTTTTGTAATGTAGCAGGATTCAGTGGGAATGAACTCTGTTTGGGTACCACCAGTTTGTCAGTGAAGTTCAGGAAGACATGGAAGGATACTATAATCCTGTGTCAGTGCCATAGGAACGCAGTTCAGACTGATTCCAGAGGCCTACATGGACTGTAAAATTACTCTTTGCTTTCTAGCCTCTTGCTTCTTGGTTTCAGAAATGCTTTAGCATCCTGGTATAGTCTTGGCATAAATATCTCGTTTCCCACAGAGTGATGATGGTTGCAAAGAAATTTCTGGATGCTGGAAACAAACTCAACTTTGCTGTAGCTAGCCGCAAGACCTTTAGCCATGAACTTTCTGATTTTGGCTTGGAAAGCACCACTGGAGAGGTTCCTGTTGTTGCTCTCAGAACTGCAAAAGGAGAGAAGTTTGTCATGCAGGAGGAGTTCTCGTGAGTTACAAGTTAGCATGGGTTTGGGATTTGGTTGTGCAAGGAAACTGTTAAAGCCTTTTATGCTGCTGAGGACCTATAAAGAACATTGGAATGTGAAGTTACGTCTTCTAGTCAAGACCTATGACTGTCAATTTCTTTTCTCAGTTAATTAAATTATAGATACTGTAAGGATCATGATCCTTAAATTCTGAAAACCAGCAAAAGGATGGCAGCCTGGACTATGTATGTGATTGTTTCTGCCCTGCCATTAGAAATAGTAGACAGACATTCTCTTTGAGATTGATGTAATTTCAGACCAACCCAGCCCCCTCCCATCCCTACAGAATGTCTTCTTGGAATACTACTACATTGGCCTAAAGTAAACTCAGGAAATTAGAAAGAACCTAAGACTCCAGACATTTTTTGACTTTCACCTTCTGAAATTTTGGGAGATTAACACAAGAGAACACTGCCTTGTGAGTGGATCAGTAAAACAAGATACCATAAATAGGCAGTATTGTGCAGAGCAACAAAATAAGACCTGGTTCATTTACTGAAGTAAATTTCCAGAAGACCAATGTTTTCTTCCTTCTCTAATCTTTCTGATCCACAAAGAACACACTAGAAATACAAGGAGATAGTTGGTTTCTTAGTCAGTAGTTCTGTATATTAAGAAATAAGAGCCCTTTTTTGTGAGCTGTCAGTTTCTTTATAGCCTTGAAATTGAAGCTGAAATACACAGAAACTATTCTAAGAAATTGTTTTAAATCCTCTCAGTGGTGGGAGTAAATTAACAAACCTGACCCTCTTCTTTCCAATTATAGGCGTGATGGCAAGGCCCTTGAGAGATTCCTGCAGGATTACTTTGATGGCAACCTGAAGAGGTACCTGAAGTCTGAGCCCATCCCAGAGAGCAATGATGGGCCTGTAAAGGTGAGGCGCTCATAGCCTCACCAAGGCTCTAAGCAGCTGCCTCTTCTCATTCCCTTCCAACTCAATTTTGTTGAGATATAATTGACTCCCCTCATTTCTTTATGCCAAAAATGCTGGGTCTAAGTGAAGACCCTGTGGGCTGTCATGTTTTTGTTTGTCCTTACTTCCCTAAGTCATAAAATAAGCATTGGCAGAGCTCATCATGCTCAATAGGGACAGTACTATAAAACCTTCATAGAATTTTCTGGTGGTATTTACACTGGGGCTAGGTTACTCTTTGGGATAGAGCAAGCTAACCTCTAGTAATGGTTTTAAGATTGTTGCTTTGAGGTTATTTTAAGAAAGGGTTGGGTAGCACTTGTTTCTTAAAACTGCCTCAACATAGTTTGGCAGGTGACAGACATGGGAATGAGTTGGTTTTGGAAATGGCAACATCTTTAATATAGCCTATAAATGCAGTTTGGGTTTCAATGTCATATTCTCAGTGGCAACATATCAAATTTGAGAAGAATTGGTTCTAGAAACAAATTTAGCTCATTGATTTGTTGAACACAGCTTACCAACAAGAGAGTCTTCCATGTTTTTCAGGTAGTTGTAGCAGAGAATTTTGATGAAATAGTGAATGATGAAAATAAAGATGTGCTGATTGAATTTTATGCTCCTTGGTGTGGGCACTGTAAGAATCTGGAGCCTAAGTATAAAGAACTGGGAGAGAAGGTAAGTCTGAACCATAATTCTGAAGATAAAATTTGAGTTGAGAAGTTTGGACATGTATTTAGCATTGGCTAATTAGTTTAGTACCTAAGTACTGGTGGGTTCTTTTTTCCAACTGTTTTAACTCTTTACTCACTTTATCATGACTGCATACTAGTGTCTATAGCCTGTGTAGTGCCTCAGATACCAGCTTTAACTTTCTTCTACTCCTCAGACTCAACATAGAGTATGATTAAAAGTATCCAGGCTTCTGCATTTTGGTAATGACTTACATGAATCTGTTATGGTCTTTCATCTTAAAACACTTAGCTTAGCCCTTGTAATGTCTTATTGTAGGCCAAGTGATTTTTGAATAGGGATGACTGGATATAGAGTTTTAACATGTAGAAACCAAGAGAGAAAAGGGGAGTTTGTGGAAAGTTAAGATAATGTATGCAAGTGTCACTATTCTTCCCATCTGAGCAGCAAAATTTATCCAGGTGTTTAAAAATAAAATTGTTTAAGTCCTGAGTTAAAACTTGAAATTTAAAGCTGTAACCTTTTTATTAACAGCTCAGAAAAGACCCAAATATTATCATAGCCAAGATGGATGCCACAGCTAATGATGTGCCTTCTCCATATGAAGTCAGAGGGTAAGTAGATGAAAAGCTAATAAAAGTGTCTAGGCAATTCATAGGAAAAAAATAAGTTTGTAAACCATATTATTGGATATGGTTTGGGGAGTCCTCATATTTCAGTTGATCACAGAGCCACTTATGCCTTCTTGGCTTAGAGTTCTGCAGCATGGGCCCACATGACTGCCACAGATTTTGTGAGCTCTCACGTTCCTGAATTTTGATAGAAGGTGACCTAGCCACTGACAGAGAATAGTATCTGATCAGATTTGAAATCATGAAGATAAGTTATTCCCAGAAACAGTAACTGGGAAAGTACATGTCAGAGTTACTCTGGAACCTGAAATTAGTCAACTCTTTTTTTTTTTTTTTTTTACCCAGTTTTCCTACAATCTACTTCTCTCCAGCCAACAAGAAGCTAAATCCAAAGAAATATGAAGTAAGTGCATTGTTTCATCTCCCCACAAATACACACACACATACACATATCCACATCTTTGAGTTTAACCAGAACTCTTTCAATTCTCATGGTCAATATATATGGTTGCTAATGTGCTCTTAAAACTCAAAAGTCTTCCTACAGGGAAAAAAATTCAAGGTTCTTTCAAAGGTTAAATTTTCAAAGTAATCTTTCTGTTTTCAGGGTGGCCGTGAATTAAATGATTTTATTAGCTATCTACAACGAGAGGCTACAAACCCCCCTGTAATTCAAGAAGAAAAACCCAAGAAGAAGAAGAAGGCACAGGAAGATCTCTAAAGCAGCGCCAAACAGGCCACTTTGTAAAAGGACTTTTCCAGCAGAGATGGGAGAACCATTGGGAGAACTGAGACCCATATGGGATTATTACTCTCAGGGCTGAGAGGACAGAATGGATATAATCTGAATCCTGTTAAATTTTCTCTAAACTGTTTCTTAGCTGCACTGTTTATGGAAATACCAGGACCAGTTTATGTTCGTGGTTTTGGGAAAAATTATTTGTTTTGGCGGGGAATGTTGTGGGGGTGGGGGGAATTGAGCCAGGGGGGTTATTTTCTAATTTTTTTTGTACATTTGGAACAGTGACAATAAATGAACCCCCTTTAAGATGTCTTTTTTCCACAAGATGGGGAACCAAAGGTTCTGACAGCACTGTCCAGTAGCACTCCCTGGCAATGATGGAAATGTTCTATAATCTTCATTGTTTAATATATGTAGCTATTGCACATTTGAAATGTGGCCAGGAACTACATTTAAATTTTTATTAATTTAAATAGTCACATATAGGGCTAATAGCTACCATATTGGTCAGTGCAGCTTTAGAACAGCTAACTGGGTCCATAATTATCACCTGTAAATTCTTTCCAATTTTTATCTTTCTATTCTTACATGTGTTTATTGCCCAGGAGGCCCCTAGCTTGATGATTTGAACAGGTGAGGAGTCTTTCTTGTTGGTCTCTCTTTCTGATCCTGCCATGCCCCAGGGATGGGTTGCTGTTTATCCTTGCCACGCTGCTGAGCATGTTTATACCTCCCAAGGGCTATTTTCCGCCCAGAAGTGCCCTGCCTGGGTGTGGCACTGTGTGGGTGTGGTAGGGGTTCCAAGTTTCAGGAATTGCTGACACCTCTGGGTGCAGCTCTCCCCCACAGGGCCCACGTTGTGGCCCATTAACTTCCTCTGCAGTATCATTCCTGGTTGTGAATGAAGCATCCACATTTCTTCTGCAATGATGAGGAATAAAAATGGTAGTACTGGTGTGATCTTTGTTCATATGAACTATTTCACTCTTCTTTTTGGTGGGTAAATCCAAATCCTATCCAGTTACAGTTTTCAGTCACTGGGTAATTCCAGGTAGATAGATCCCTAATTGTAAGTGATCATAAAACTGTTTAGAAAAGAACTTTATTCCTATTATATTCTCTAGTTGTCGATCATAAGATGAATTTGGTAGAGCCTTACAGCAAAATATATATCAGAATCATCCATAGTGCTTTGAAAAAAGTGAAGATGCCTAACCATAACTTGGGGATTCTAATTCATAAGACCTGGACTGGGATCTGGGGATCTAGTTTTTTAGAGCCCCAGAGATGTTTCAGATAAACAGCCAGGGGTAAGAACCACTGCCTTGGAGAATATAAAGAAAGCATATAATAACTTGTATAAAGGACACAGAAACGGTTTTAATATTTTAGCCATGTTAGTAAAAATTCACTTTTAAGTACATGGATAACACCTAAGCCCTTTCCCATTGTATCAAGATGTATTACAAGTTCCTTTAGCTCTGTTACCAAAAGGTCTAGTTGTTTCTTTAGAGAAGCTACCAGGCTAAATTCTAATGTCGACAAGGCATCTTGTCCTGGGAATAGGGTCATTTCTCAAGATCTGAAAATGACTTAGCTTCAACTAAAGGTGAAGGAGCCAAGCCTCTGCTACTTTTCCTAGTCTCCTGGGCATAGCTGTGGGGTGTTGGCACTGTGCCCACACCCTAAAAATTAAAATATGGCAACAATGAAAATCAAACCGTAAGAACCTAGAGGAGCTTTCCTAGTTGCCACTGTGGACACAGTAATAAGAACAGACAGTTGCACTCTAGTTTATAGCTGCTTTGTTCCTTCATATCACAGGGCAGAGGGCCAAGAGCCCTCTCACAACTTCAGCTGCGCCTGTTCTTCTCAAACTCCAGGATGAGACCTTTAATGTGGGACAATTTCTGATGCAGGTACTCACAGCGACGTTTTTCTTCCCTGTAACCTGGGTACCGCTGCAGAGAAAGCATCCATGTTTAAAAGAAAAAAAATCCACCATTTCTACCTTCTTGCTACCATCCCCAGACGTTATCTTACCTTCCTGAACTTTTTATATTCCTGGACTATCTTTTCTTCCAGCACCTGAAACAAAGAAAATGCTAGCACCAAGCTTAACCTTGAGAAAAAAGCTCCATTCTTGTTGAAACCACAATGTTGCTCATGTGAAACTTTTATAAGATTGTGTATCGATACCTTAATTTTAAGAAAATAAATAACTATTATCCAAAACAAACAAAAAATAGCTCTATTTTCTTAAGGGAGGGAAGTAATTTCCCTTCCCATTCTACCAAATGATAATAGACAATTTTTTCTTTCAAAACAGGCTTGCATTTCGCTTTTTTGTTGCTGAATAAACATAAGCTATGGGCAGTTAGCAGGAGTTTATGGCCAGTAGAGCTGGAAAGCCAGCTTGGATCCAGTCTTTACCTTGTGTTCTGGAGTTCCTCTCTGAACTCTCTTGATCTCTGCTCCCAGCTCCATGAACCTTTGGCTTGCAGCCCCAACACGAGCATGCAAGATACGGTATTCAGCATAATCTGTTTCAAAGTCCTGCTCATAAGCATGTTGCTGCTCTGCACTGTGGATGGCCCTGTATTGCCTGCCGAAAGCAGAGAGTTATCACTTTCAATTTCACTGTGACCCCCACCACCACCACCACCAAAAAAAGAAACCTTTCACCTCCCAGAAAGTTCATCTTAATATATATGCAAGTCTTTTATATAGGGGACTTACAGGAGATAATCTGGTACCTCTTCAGGGTGTGGGGATTCAGAGTCTAGGAAGGAAGAAGACACAAAAGTAATTATACAGGCCTTTTTCCCCATTATGGTAGTTTTACCCCCCTCATTAATGCTTACCTGCTTGAACTGAGGGACTATGCTCCAGCCTGGAACCCATATCTTCATCTTTATCTTCTTGCTCCCAATTTTCTCCCTCTTGTAGGTCCTGAGTGGGGAGCCCTTGTTGGGAACTTGGAGCTAGAGGCAGAGTTCTGGGCCTCTTCTCTTTTAGTTTTATAGTGGCTGCAGGTGCTGGACGTTTCTGTTGGGGAAAATATCTTTCTCACATAAAAAGTCAGAAGCCTCCTGTTCTGCCCTTCTCTTGAAAATTATTTCCATTTAATGGACTCTTGGAGCATCAAAATGAAGACTCCCAATTTTAAGATTTTAGCCTGATTGAACAAAGCTCTCTTTGGAAAATCATTACAACTTACCTTGTCCAGATATTTCTGGCTAGCAGAGGAACGCAGTACCTGATCAGGCTCTCTCTTTGAATAATGAGTCTGGTTCCTAGAATATTAGAAGAGGGATGGGAGGGATTCAGACCCGGATAGGAGGTAGGGCTAGATCTCTAATTATAGCATTAAGCGTGGAGATTAGAGAAGACTAGCAGGGCCTCCCAGGTTAGACCCACCCTGCCCCAAGTACCTCACTTCCCACTGTGACATGTGTTCCCTCGAGGATCCTGGGAGTGACTGTCCATGGCTGCTTGCCAGTGGGTCCGGCACCTGGCAGGGAAAGTGGCAGGGGCACTTGGCTCCCTGGGCTTCAGGCTTTGCCCCACCTTATCCCAACTCCCTGCAGTTTCTGGCCTCACCTCTTCTAGTGCCATCTGTGGCTGTGAAACTGCAGCTTCAGAATAGTCGTCTCCCATGTTCTGCCAACTCTCAGAATCTCTGGCATCTTCAGCCAGGTTGTGTCCCTGAACTGAAGATGGGGCTGGGATAGAATCCATGGCTGCCCAAACAGTGAGGCGCTCCCTGAGTGGGCCCAGGCAGTGGAGGCAGTTAGGCCCAGATCTGGAAAGGGGTGGTGGAAAACACTCAGGAGGGTGGAGAACTTTTAAACACACCTGGACATTCTCCAGGATTTTTCATAAACCCTTTTTAACTGCTACCTGTTTCCCCTTACCTGCCTAAGCGTTGACACACAAGGTCCAATCCAACTCCAGGGCCCTCTTGGCCACACTGGGACACTATGAAGGAGAAGAGGCGGGGCCAGCCAGGGCCTGGGAGCCTCAGATACTAGGGGTGAAAGGAGACCATAAGCCCCATGAAGTCAGCCCCACCCCCTCCTGCCAATGCCATTCCTCCCTCAGCTAGCCTAAAATTGAAGATAGGTCCCACGGGGCTAGTTAGCACAACAGGTGCAGCTGGGCCTGCGTCCCCCAGGAGGCTGAGACGGCACAGTCTCTTCAACCGCAGCCCCCTGGGACCACAACCCCAGCAGCCCCCTCGCCACACTCGGGGTTCAGTTCTCGGAACTTCTCAGACCGTGACTGCTCTCAGCCTCCCGCCCTGCCGGTACCTTTCCGAACAGCAGCCCACGTCTGTTCTCCCTGCACCCCAGCGCTTCACACACCTCAGGCCTGCACTTACCCCTCGGTTGCCTTGGAAAGCGATCACTGGCCGAACCTGCGGGGAGAGCACAGACGGGAGCTGAGCGCAGGTGAAGCGATGTCCCCAGGATCCGGCGTCGAGTGCCTGCAGGATCTCTCGCGCGGGCTTCACTTGGAGAGGTGGGGAGGCCGGAGCCTGCGGATGTCGCTCCCCATCCCCAGGTCCCTTCACCAGGGTCGTCGGCTGCAGGATAGGAGGTCGGGAAGGATAGGGGCGTGGGAAGAGGGGGCCGCACCTGTTGCCGCTGACACTCCTGCAGCGCCCGCAGCGCTGCGTCGTTGAGCCTAAGCATCAAGAAGCTGGTCCGGGCTGCTGGGGTGAAGCAAAGCTGGAACTTTCCACTTAGAAGCTCCTGGGGTCCCTCCATGGCTGCGAGGTGCAGAGTAGCCACAGGCTAGGGCCCCCACTACCACCTCCGCCGTGCAGGACTAGGCAGGCTGGCACACCCCGCAGCCCAGGTCGGCCCCGCCGGAGGGAGGGAGGGGCCTCACCCTCCGGCCCCACCCCCAGCCGGCGTCACCTTGAGGTTTCTCTACCGCGTGGGCGGTGCTTCGCTTTCCCCAGAAAGTCCCCGTGGACCCCAGAGGTGTCTTCTTGGGTTGGCATGCACAGCAATGGCCTTCAGAAGGGGCTGCCCCAGTTCCGGGGAGAAAGTCTGCGACCAGCTTCAGACATCCACCCAGAATCCCCAGTCCTGCCTCAGTTTCCCCAGCCAACAGAAAGACCCGTCTCTAAGTGAAGCTGAATTTGCACCCCCTAGAGGGTGTTAGACGCAGAGGGGCGGGAGAGAGGGCCTGGTTGCTGGGCGGACTCAGCCTATCGCGCCTTAGAGGCTCAGAGCCCTCAGGGACGGGAGGGTGGCAGATCTGAAGTGGGAATCTCAACGCCAACACGTCGCACAGCACTTGTGCTTTTTCCGTCCGGTTTCTAACTAAGGCTGCAGAGAAAATCGGGCTCTGTGGGTGTTGTGGCAGCGGTGAAGCTTGGTGTCGCAGGCTGGAGCGCCCCGACCGGGCAGTGGGCATGGGGGGCGTGGGTAATGTCAGGAGAGTTGTAGGGTGGAGGAGAAAGCGGTCAGTCTCAGGTCTCCCCTCCTGGCCTAAATACGTGAGATTGGTGTGAAAGGGGGCTAGTTCACTCCCTTAGAAGGGCCAATAGGTGCCACGAAGTTGCCAGACATTATGCAGATCCAGATCCGCGTGCGGTGAGACAATCTCAGGTCAGTCCTTGGTGTCTCCACTTGTCCCTTATTTGGGTATGTTTCCCAAGAGCCCTAGTGTTCTGTCTTAGCTAGGATCCCTCTGCTAAATCCCTGTACCTGCATAATCTAAGGTGATCTTAATACCCCTCACCCCAAATCAAATTACCTATACATTTGCCAAAACTCATCAAATTGTGCACTTAAAATGTGTATATTATTATTAAAATTCTTAAATTTTATTAAGTTTATTTCAATTATTAATATTATTTAAAATGTATGTAAATTATACCCCAATAAAGTTAATTTTTAAAATCAGTGCAATAAACCTCCAACTCCAAACACAAAAACATGTCCATCTCCTCAGGGCTCTCTGCTTCCCAATTTGCTAATATGGTAAACAGTCGTGGTAACGGGGAAAGCTGGTCTCCCAGTGTTCCTTTTCTTCTCAGATGACATCTGTGACCTTTGGTTACATTTTCCTGGGTTTAAACTCAAAGTAGAGACTAGAATGAAAATTTCCAGATAGGAGGAAAGGGGCAACGCTGTAAGAAGAGGGAATTGGGGAAGATATTTGGGGAAGGGAGAAGGGAGAAGGGAATCTAACATTTGTTGAGTGTCCATTGTGTGTCAGGATCTTTGCATCTTGCTTAATCCCTACAATAACTTTTTAGACTAGGTGTTGTTATCCACATTTTTCATTCATTCATTCAACAAATTGAGCGCTTTGTACCAACAAATTTTACCAGAAACTACTAGATCCTTGCAGTTCATCAATGAACAGATTCTTGTTTTGGGAGAGCCTACATTCTAGAGGGGAAGGAGACACTACAAACAAATCTAAGAAATAAACATAAGAAATATACTGTATAACAGCACAGAGAAGACAAGTAATGACTCTATAGCATCTTACTATGCTGATAGATCATGACTGTAATGGGGCTGTGGGGCAGTGAGGACTTGATAATATGGGTCAATGTTGAAACCACAATGTTCTTCATGTGAAACCTTCATAAGGTTGTCTATCAAAATAAGCCAGGTGGAGAAAGACAAGTATCAGATGATTTCGCTCATCTGTGGAGAATAAGAACAAAGAAAAAACTGAAGGAAAAGAACAACAGCAGACTCACAGAACCCAAAAATGGACTAACAGTTATCAAAGGGACAAAGGGAAAAGGACTGGGGAAGATGGGTGGGAAGGGAGGGAGGAGGGGAAAAATGGACATTATGATTAGCACACATAACCCATAGAGGGGGGCACAGGGAAGGCAGTATAGCACAGAGAAGACAAGTAGTAGCTCTATAGCATCTTACTACACTGATGGACAGTGACTGTAATGGGGTATGTGGTGGGGACTTGATAATGGGGGGAATCTAGTAACCATAATGTTCATGTAAGTGTATATTAATGATAGCAAATAAAATAAAACAAAATAAAAGATTGGATATCAATATTTTAATAATAATAATATATGTACTGTATTTTTAAAAGTGGTGTTATAGAAAAAAATAGAGCAAGGTAAGAGGGTTTGGAAGTGGAGAAGGAAGGTAAAGGAGTATGGAGAGGGCTGACTGTACATTAAATCAGAGAAAGCCTTCTGGAGAAGATGAAATTTGAGCAGTGCCTAAAGGAGTTGAGGGGATTTGCTAAGCTGTACAATTGGAGGAAATGTTTACCAGGTAGAGGGACTAGCCAGTGTAAACTCTGCAGTCAGAAGTGTGCCTGGAGTGTTTGAGGAGAGTTGAAGTCAGTGTAACTGGAGCAAAGTAAGGGAGGGATAGTGAAGTAAGAAATGAAGTCAGGAAGGTAAGGTGCAAAGGCAAATGAGGTCATGGAGGACCTTGTGGGCTGTTATAAGGACTTTGGCTTTTACCTTGAGTGAAATGGGGAGTCATTGCAGGATTTTGAACAGAGTAGTAACATAACGTCACTACTATTTTAAAAGGATCACTGGACTGCTGTGTAAGAACAGTCTGTATGGAGACAAAGATAAAAGCAGTATGCCCCATTAGGAGGCTACTGTAGTAATTCAAGCTAGAGGTGGTGGCAGCTTGCACCAGGCAGTAGCATAGGAGATGGGAGAAGGAATAGAGTTTTGGATATACTGAGGGTAGAGCCAACAGGATTTCCTGATGGACTGAATGTGGTATGTGAGAGAAGAAAGTATATCATTAAGGATAACTAGGGTTTTGGGCAGAACCACTAAAGGAATGAAATTGTCATCAACTGAGGTAAGGAAGACTGCAAGTGAAATGGGATTAATTCTGAACTTGTTGAATTGTCTGTTAGAATCCAAGTGAGGATGTGGGGCAGGCAATTGTATATACAAGTTTAGAGATTGTCAAAGATGTCTGAGCCACAGATGTAAACTTTAGTATAACAGACATAAATTTGTAATTGTAAACATATAGTTGGTATTTAAAGCCACAAGACTGGATGAGATCACCCAGGAACATGCATAAAGGTTTATATCCTGGAGCACTCTAACCTCTAGAAAGAGGTCAGGGGGAAGAAAGCCAAAGCCAATTGAAAGGGAATAGCCAATGAGGAAGGAGAAACACCAAGAAAGTGTGATATCCTGAAAGCCAAGCAAAGAAAGTATTTCAGGAAGAAGGGATTGATTAACTGTGTCAAATGCTGTCAATAGGTCAAATAAAAGGAAAATTAAGAATTAACCACTGTGATGAAAATGTTCTGAAGTGGACAGTGGTGGTGATTAAACATATCTGTGGATATACAAAAAAAACACTACATTTTACACTACATTTCAAATGGGTGAACATATATTTGAATTATATCTCAATAAAACTGTTATAAAAAATGACCACTGTATTTATCAATGTGGCTTCACTGGTAGCTTTAACAAGAGCAGTTCTGGTAAAATGGTGGGTTGAAAGCCTGATTAGAGTAGTTTTAAAGATGATGGGAGAAAAGAGGTATACAGAGAATATCAGAGACTTGAGTTTTGTCAAATATGGCAACAAAGAAATAGGGAGTGAATTATTAGGGGGAAATAAGATCAAGAGACCGTTTTATGGTGGGAGAAATAGCATGTTTGTATAATGGTGGAAAATGTTTATGGAAAATCCCTAAACTTTGATGATGTAGGAGAGAGGAGAGGATTGTTGGAATGATGTCCTTGAAGAGGTTAAAGGGCATGGGATCTACTCAGGATTGGCTTTCCATAGGAAAGTTTATCTATTGGGACAGGCCACACAGAGAAGGTAGGTGCAGGTGTGGAAGGTAGATGGATATGGTAGGAGACTGTGGAAATTCGCTTCTGATTACTTCAGCTTCCTTGTGTAAGCAGGGAGCAACTGAGAAAGAGGAGTGATGAGGGTTGAGTTATGAAAATGGTGTGAAATAATTTGCCTAGAAGTGTGAGAGTGAATGAGTTAGGAACATGTCTAACACTAAGGACTGATGAGTAAACTGAAGCTTACAGAAGCTAGTGGCTTACCCAGGTTACAAAGCAGAGGTTCTAATTCAGGGATTCTGTGAACTTGGAAGGAAAAAATTACCTCTTTATTTTCACTAACCTCTAACAGAAATTTAACATCTCCAATTATGAATGTAGGCAACAAACCACTGGTACTGGCAGTACCTCTGATATTCTCAACAATAGAAATAACAGGTATTTTCATTTCACATTACAATGTTAGAGAAATGTGTAAATATCATCTCTATTCATTGCCACTTAATAATTACAATCATTATTAGACTTGCCTCTAGATCTTTTTATATAATGCACTTATAAAAATGTACTGTTACTATACTAAAAACATTTAATTAATTTGATAACTGTATTTGATTATTTGTTTTCCTTTATGATCCCATGTGGTTTTTTTTGACAGCAGAAGAGATATTTGGGGGGAAGGGGATAAAGTTGGTATATAACATTATATAAGCTTCAGGTGCACAACATCATAATTTGACATCTGTATGCATTACAAAGTTATCATCACTAAAAGTCTATTTAACAATTATCACCATATAATTAATTGACCCCCTTCACTCATTTCACTCACCCTCATCCCCCTTCCCATCTGGTAACCACCAATCTGTTCTCTGCAACTATGAGTTTGTTTTTGTTTTTTTAGATTCCACATATGAGTGAAACGATATGGCATTTGTGTTTCTCTGTCTCACTTATTTCACTTAGCATAATAACTTCAAGGTCCATCCATGTTGCTGCAAATAGCAATAGTTCATTCCTTTTTAATGACTGAGTATTCTGTGTGTGTGTGACATCTTTTTTATCAACTCATGCATAATTGGGCATTTAGTTTGTTTCCATTTTTGGCTATTGTGAGGAATGCTGCAATGGGTGTAGGGATACATATATCTTTTTGAATCAGCATTTTTGTATTCTTCAGATAAATACCCAGAAGTGGAATAGCTGGATCATATGGTAGTTCTATTCTTAAGTTTTTGAGGAATCCTCATGCTATTTTCCATTAGTGCCTGC